TCTGTCGCAATTTTTGGATCACTTCAGGCGCAGTGGAAGATAGCTTTTTGAGCACTAACAACAGGACACACGCAAATGGTGTTGCCTCTCAAACACCTAACAACAAGACATGCCGCATGGGGCGGGGTCGACAAGGATGTTGCCTCTCAAACACCTAACAACAAGACATGCCGGGTGGGGTGGGGTCGACAAGGATGTTGCCTCTCAAACACCTAACAGCAAGACATGCCGGGCGGGGTGGGGTCGACAAGGATGTTGCCTCTCAAACACCTAACAACAAGACATGCCGGGCGGGGTGGGGTCGACAAGGATGTTGCCTCTCAAACACCTAACAACAAGACATGCCGGGCGGGGTGGGGTCGACAAGGATGTTGCCTCTCAAACACCTAACAACAAGACATGCCGGGCGGGGTGGGGTCGACAAGGATGTTGCCTCTCAAACACCTAACAACAAGACATGCCGGGTGGGGTGGGGTCGACAAGGATGTTGCCTCTCAAACACCATAGTCAACGGCGAAGAAACTAAGACCGAAGCGAGTAAGGAAACTAGGACCGAAGCGAGATGAAAACTAGGACCGAAGCGAGCCAGCAACTAGGACCGAAGCGAACCCGCGACCATGCAGGCACGCAGGCATGCAGGCACGCAGGCACGCAGGCGCACAGGCACGCAGGCACGCAGGCACACAAACACATGCGGGCACGCGCGCACAAACGCGCACACAAAGACACACACACAGTCACACCAAGACGCACACACACACACACACAAACATGCAAGCACGCACACCACACACGCACACAAACACGCAGTTAGATTTCTCTTAAGGGCGAGCCAATCAAGTTCAAGTGTAGTTTAGTCGAGTCATGTCCAACAGAGTGCATGGCAAGCCAACCCCAAATAGCTTCCCTCTAAATGGGAAAACGATACCAAGTCCAACATGGGGACCAAAAGGACTTTGTGTCACTTCTGCAGGCACACGCGTGCCAAGCGCCTGCCACTCAAGAAAAAGCAACTGCCGGGCAGCCACCAAGCAGCCATCAAATGCCAAGCAAGCGAAAAGCGAGTGCCAAGAACTGCCGAAAAGCTTCCCAACGACTGCCAGGCAATTGGTTTTGTAGGGGAGGGGGCTGGGACCAGAGACAGGGCAGAAACAGGCCGTAACAGAAATCAAATCAGAGGAGCGTGTGTGCATGTAGTTTCTTTGCGTTTCGAAGACTTTGCAATGCACCAATGCGCCATAGAATGTTTTGTGGGGTCGCTTTGTTCGAGATCTTTCCCGATAGCATGAGAATCACTGAGCCAAAAGTCAACTGAGAAGTGCTGCAGGTGCGAAAGTTCAGCTGCGAGGGTACGTGCCGACGTGACCCTGGCTGCTATGAGTTCAAAACCACACGGGAAGGTCGCTGGGCAGGATCAGTTTGTTCCAACTCAACGTGTGAGCGTGCCCAGATTGCCAAACATTCGACGCCTTAGGATGCTATTTTCAGATGGGGCCTGCGTCTCCGAGAGACATGTCCTGTGCGGATCTTCATTCGCTGCAAAAGTTTCGCAAGGGTGATCTGGAGCTGTCCGCAGCTTGATAGCAACCGCTTGCATGGCAATACTACTCTCATTTTTGTCCAGCTTGAACATGTGATTGGGCTCGTGGTAGGGTAGACAGTTTTTTTGATACTTCGGTCGGAAGCCGAGGCCAGAATTTGCAATGTTCTTGACAGCAGGGCATGCCTGCAAGTCAATTCATCTTCTGGCCTCATCTCTGCAGACATCTCGAAATTCATGCTGAGAGAGAAGGGGATAGCTGTGACATTTGAAGCCCTTCTTTCTTCTGGGCTTTCTGTTTACCCAGAGCAGCCGTACAAGGCCGGCTGCATGATGCTGGCTTGAAGCATGGTTGTTTTGATTGACAGGGGTTTGACGCTTGTGAACTTGCAACTTCCCGCTGTTTCGTGCCACCCAGGTGCAATTTTATCCAGGCACAGTGCCTGTCAGAGAACTTCTGCTGAGCGGCTTAGGAAAGATCAAGGAACGAAGGGTTGCTTAATTTGCACTTAGTTCTGGATTTTGCGATCACTTCTTTTTTGCAGGTGATTGAATCCGACTATTTGCCAATTCACTCCGAGGTCCTGGCAGACGGTACTCAACAGTTCCAGGTTCGAATGTCTCCTGGAAGCAAATGTGTAGTTCAACAGGGCATTTTTGTCTGACACTGCAAGGCCTGCTTGTCATGCGCTTGAAGGTCTGCAAGCAAGCTTCGTACAAGTTCATGAGCCACTCGCTGGCCTGGCCAGGTCCATCTTTGAGTTGGCAGCGCAAACTCTTTAGCGCTTTAACACCGCCTCAGGCCGAGGACATTCAAAGGTGTTCCTGTCATGGCTTCCCTTGCCGATTTGCGCGCTTTAAGCTCGGCCAACTCAGCCCCAGTTTCCTGCGTAATCGCGCCATCTTGTGCCAACCGACACGTTTCGAACAGTACGACGCTGGCAACAACATGCTTTGTGATCGTGGCAAGCGACCCTTGTTGTTGAAAAAGGCACGCCGTCGTTTAAAATGTTCCCCCAAGCACAGATCGGCACGCGAATCTCGACGGTTTGATGCTCGCAAAAGCACAAATTCATGTCACGTATCAAAGCTTGTATTCCGGAGCCTTTGCTCTTTCCACAGATTTCCGTCGTTAGATTCTCGAAAGGGCGATTCCATGTTTGAGTCACCCCCTCTGGTGAGAATCCTGATCACTGAATAGCAAACGATGTCAATTTCATGGTGCCTGATCTGCATCAGGGTGGGCGATGCTGGGGGGGTCTGGCTGTTGTTGATGCGGATGCGTAGGTTATCTTCTGAAGCAATCATCAAAGGGAGGTGTGGTGTGACATGCCAAGGTCCTACTCTCCGATGGAGTTCAACTACGACTATATCCAATTCTACGTTGCTGCGCTGGTGGACGACCACGATCCTTGATGCACCAGTTGGAGAGAGCGCAGCGTGTTGGTTTTCACACCAGTTCCAGCTACTTTGGAGGCTGTTTTGCTAGGACATCTTGCTTGGGTGCAGATACGTGCTGGGTTGAGACACGCTGAGGAAGGGCAGACGCATGCCTTCAAGAGAACAAAATGTTTGTGTGTTGGGTTCTCGCTTAGTCGTCTTGCCTAATATGTTGGGTTTGTGGCGCAACGGCATGGCATGCGTGCAAGTGATTCACTCAAACAGGCCACTGTTCGGGCCCGTCGGGCCCGTCACACGTGTTGGGCCAATGAATCCCGGTCAACGCTGACAAGAGAGGGGGGCTATTTGGTGCAGTCATGCCATGGATGTTGGGATTTGATGCCTATTCATGAGCTGTGTGCATGTGTGGCATGGTTGAATTAATGAAAGACATGGCTGTGAATGCAGTTTTTCTGGTAGCTCAAGTGAGGAGCGAACAAAAGTCTGTGGCTGACTAGCGGAGGTGGGTTCCCTCGAGGATGTGGCTTGAGTGCCTGCGGGTGGAACCGCGGCACTAGCACCAGCACCTGCGGGTTGCCCCGCGGTGCTGTTCCGGTTGCGGGAGGCCCCGCGCCAGAGTCACGGCGCCTAAGAAGTGCGGTGGCAAGAAGAAGAACAAGCGGGGCGTGCGCTCAAAAACACGCCAACAAGCCCGCGAGAACCGCGGCGCCAAGAGGCGCCTGGACAGGGCGCAAAGGAGAGCCGAAAGGCGTTGACCTGAGCCCCTTGGCCCGAAGTGCTCACTAAGGACAGGGCCAAGCTGACGAGTCATTGTCCAATGAGACGGTGAGCCAAGCGCATCTTCTCAGTTGCTTCGCACAGCGTCAAAGTCGAAGCCAAAGCCTCCCCGGAAGGAAGCGGCTCCAGGTGTGAGGCTGAGGTCCGCAGTCCCAGAAAGGCAGGAGCGACAAGAAGGGAGCTCAAGGTCAAGGAGGCGTTCTTTGAAAGAAGAACCTTAGACGCTTTCAGCGTGTGGCTTGGTGGCTGACGTCTGAGACTTCCCCGTGGATCAGTGAGAACACGGTTAAGCAAAACCCTGGTTCCACCTGACTGTTCGAGCTGTGACAAGTCGGCGCAACCCTTCGCGAGAACACCTACAACCTTGGCGCGGTTGCAAAGAAGAAGCCGTCAGCGCCGCCGAAGCCACCAAGGACTCCGGCGCCCAGTGTGCTGAAGCGAGCGCAGACTCTTCCTGCAGCTGGCAGGATGAGGAAGTAGAAGCGGAGGAAGAGGAAGACTCTCCCATCAAAGTAGACTATGGAGGTAGGACGAGCTCACACCCTGCAAACGCACTCTAGCAGCTGTCAGGGCGTATTGAGCAGCAAGGCTAGGAACTGAGCATGATGAGAGCTCAGCAACAGCAGCAGCAGCAGCAGCAGCAGCAGCAGCAGCAGCAGCAGCAGCAGCAGCAGCAGCAGCAGCAGCAGCAGGCGGCTGCTGACACACGGATTTGGGGCGAATCTGATGTTTTGGGAGTGATTCCAACACACCAGCAACAAGCTTCCAGCAGCAACGGCGCCGTAGCTCAAGTCACCACTGACACAAGACCACCGTTTTCAAGACCGATGCGGATAACTACTCAGACTGGTCATTCGTGTTCAAGGCCTACATGTCGTGCGTCTCACCCAGTTCCTGAAAGTGTTAGCAGCACGCGCGTTCCAATACCCAACAGGCTGCTGTCAGATGAGGACAAGGCGCTTTCTGCTTGTCATGCTTGTTAAAGGCAGGCCCCTGGACATCATCCAGAATAGAAGGCTTTGAAGCTTTCCGAAAACTGGACAAGCCATCCCAAGGTAGTAATCCATTTTGTGGGAAGCCTTTCGCGAACTCAATCAGGTTGACATTGAGAGCAAGTTGGATCTGATTGACAAGGCTGTCAGGCGCTATGAACAAAAGTGTCTGGCAAGAGCACAGATGACGAGACTCGTGTTATCAAAGGTTTGCGTGGCACTGGCCTGCGAGACCATGTACTGAGGAACGCATCACTTCTCACCATGTATCAGTTGATTAGGACTGAACCGCTGGAAATACCCAATCTCCTTGCCATTACTGCCACAAGAAAGGCCACCTCAAGGCCGACTGTAGGAAACGAGTTGCTGACGAAAAGCAAAGGGTGGCGAACGGTCAGCAGCAGCAGTTGCAAGAACCCCAAGGTGAACCTATCCCAACCATAAAAAATGCCAACATGACGTGATAGCAAGCGTAGCAGCAAGGAAGACGGAGATCTTGATTGACGCAGGCGCTGGTTCCAACCTGTTTGGCCGTGATTTCGTCCCACATGCCAAAGCAATCGACAGCAGGCCGACAACAACAATGGGGAGCCCACGAAATTCACTGTTGACTATGCTGAGAGTTAAGGTGTAGTTCAGTGTTCTTTCAGCGGGCCTGGAACGCAGCGCATTGTTAGGTCAAAGAGTCCAAGGCTATCCATTCCATTGGTAAAAAGGAGTGGAGTTTATTGGTTGGAGGTTGACGAAGGACGCAAGCCATTCCTATGCGGGTAGCCCCGCTGGGGTTTTAAGGGCTGTCAAGGCTGCTGCCAAGAGCGCGCCGGCCGAATTGCTTGAGTTGAGGGCGCCGTGGAGGATGCTGGAAACCAGGCAGTGAGCATCGCCAATTCAGAAATTCCTCTTGAAGCTTCGGCTCAAGGTAGAAAGCCCCGAAGCAAGGCATTGTGGAGAGAGGCGTGCTTGAGTTGATAAAACAAGCAAGGGCAGTGGCCCCCGACTTCAAGATAATGCCAACAGATGATTGCTTTCCATGGGTGGTCAGACATCCAGCCTGGGAGATACCTTGTCAAGTCTGATAAGAAGACACCGTACGAAGGAGTGGTGACCAACACTCCCGTGCTTGGCGCCCCGATGTCTGGAACACCTTCAGGTGGCCTCGTGGGAAGTCCGTGTACAAGTGTGGCGTGACCGTGATCGGTTGGAAAGCTGGTTGGTCGCGAAGAAAAGGCGACAAGTATCACCTCTCCGCCCGGAGTAGTCCAATCTGATGCGCGTGGTCCCGCGCCTGAAGGTTGAACCGAGGCTTTCACCCGGCAGAAAAAGGATCCACCCACAGTGTTGAGGCTGAGGGATGCTGAACAGGGCCTTTTGACTGCAGTCATGATGAGCGAGCAGGAGGATGATGTGGAGCCCGACGCTGCATCGCATCCCGCCGGACACCCTGGTTGGGCGCATGTTGGGGCAGTGCTAATGAGAGGACAGGAGAACCTCTGTGGAAGGCCAGGAACAAAGAAATGGAAAAGATGAAAAACCCTCGAGCTCAATAAAGACACTCCTATTCAGGAATGCACGGGAAAACCGCTAAGATCGCGTAGGATGGTTGTCTCAAATGCGGGATTTCCAGGTATGACATCTTTGTAGCATACTTTCACGCACTCTAGCTGTGAAGCCACCCCAGGCATGTTTGATGGCAAGCCTTGCTGGGAGTTGCTGAAGGCAATGAGTAGGACGCGTGAGGCATGAGGACAAGCAGGCTTCAAGCCATCTGCAGCCATTCCAGGGCTGCCATCTCGTTTCATGTCATGGTGATGGCTTCATTGGCGAGGGTGTTGGACAAGCCCAACAATTCTGTTGGGACGCTGATCCCAAGCACACAATTCAGCTGCAAAGGATCTGGAACTGGAAACTTGAATTTGCCACACGACATGGGAAAGGCGACAGACGCCAATGTTCCCCTCAAGAATAGAAGCTAAGAGGTTCAAGCGCCTGGCAGATACTGCGCTGTGCTTGTCCCTATAGAAATGTGCCATCAATCCAATTTGCCACATCGCAGGTGGCGTCTGGAACGCAACAGGCTACGCAGCTGCGCATGAAGCAGTTGAAGAGATTGGCTCGATACCTGGTTAAGCGTCCAGTGGAAAGATGGATGTATGATTTGCAGGCAGAGCCGACTCTAATCCAAGTCTGCTGTGACTCCGGATTGGGCCACTTGCAAGAGCAGCAGCAAGTCCATCACCTGCTATGCAATCAGGTACAGCGCGCGGCAAAGGCGTTGTGGTGGTAGAGCAGAGTTTTACGCCTCTGCTGGCCTTGTGGCCCAGGGCGTGCTTGAGGAGGTGGGCCGAACTCATCTGCCTCACGAAGCTAAAGCGTCTCACTGAAGGAGCCAAAGCTCCAAGACGCCACGTCCAACAAGAAGCGGGCCCAAGGCGCTGAACGGCAAGAGGATATCCATACTGTTGGAGATCATGCTGCTCCAGAGGGGCGTGATTGTGGCAAGAGCCCAAGGGAACGCTGAGGAAGCAAGGAGCGTTTTGGGTCTACTTTGTGTTGGTTCATAGGTGATGAGACTGTTTGGTTGATTGGCAATGGTGCGTGTTCCCACTGCAAACTGTGGAATGGTGACAGCATCTCAAGACCGACACCGAGCAAGGTTAACCGCTAGGAGTGTTGCTGAAAGGAGTGGGCACCGTTCGTGCAGACAATGCAACCCCAATGGTGGAAGACCGACCTAGCGCAGCGCAAGGTCGATCTTACCGGCATGGCCCTGTTCACGCGCGCGGACGCGCCCATCCCAGAAGCCAAATCCCACCAGCTGCCAAAACTCCGCGTGGCCGTCTGCCAAAAATCGCAGTCCGCATCTCACCGGCGCGGCCCCGTCCACGCCCAATGAACGCTCCCATCGCGGAAGCATGCTAAGCAGACAAAGCAAGAACCCATTGCACTAAAAGTGGTTTTTGGGGAAAAAGGCAGTTTAAAAGACGGCTCAAAGGGGGCTCTGGTTCTAGCCACGGTCCTGCGTGCAGATTGCTTGCCGTTGTGTACGTGTGCGCCTGTCTGCCTATCCATTTATGGCGGCCTGCTCATTTTTCTATCTATCCATTTGCCTGCCTATTCGTCCATGCATGTTTTTGTTCATCTATTCATGCGCATTTAGCAACATGTTTCTTTGTTGTGACCTAATCTAATCTAGTTAATTTGTCGATCTGTCTATCTGTGCATCCGTTTTATCGTGTTCCCGTGAGACCCTGGATGTGAAAGCCGCGAGAACAAAAGGGGGGAGGGTGCGCTTCTGAACTGAAATGCTCCTGCGTGCCAAGAAGATAGGTGGGCGGCTTGCTTGGCTGACAAGTAAATAGACACACGGGTAGAACAACATGTATCTAGAGCGATAACCGGATCGGCTGAAAAAAACAGAGAGCAAGACACAGAGAAGGAAAGAAATAAACATCAAGAGGAAACACAAAGACGTAAGACAAGGGTCAAAGAGCGAAAGAAAGAAGAAGAAGAGTGAAGGACAGACAAAACCTGAGAGAAAGAAGAGAGACCAAAGAACACAAAAGATGAACGATGACAAACAGCAAGAAGAGAAAACAGAGTCAGGAAAAGACAGAGAAAGAGAACCATACCATAGTGTTCATATTTTTGAAACTTTCACCCTCCCGGCATAACTGGTATTGGACATCCTCAACATCCTCGGCGCATCATTGTTGCATGAGAGAAGGTCCATTTGGGAAGACCCCAAAGGGGGTCTGAGGGGGTTTGACCGCTTCCCGGGCTGAGGCGAATTTTGCCGGTTTTTTTTTGAGCAGATTCTATTTTTTTGTTGGAGTTCAGTAATGTCTTACCAGTGGTTTGATCTGCGGGCCAGCCCAGCCAGATTCCCACCCCGTAGGCTTCACGTTGCTTCACTTTTGATGTCTTTCACCGCCAAGCGAAGCAAAGAGATGAAGAGGAATGGAGGAAGGAGGTGGTCTACAGGAAGCCTTTTTACCTCCTATCTGAGACAGACGGGTGAGGGATAAAAAAGATGTGGAAATAGAATGAGGATCTGCCATTCCTCATCTAATTCCCTCCATCTTCTCTTTACCTTGCGCGTGATGGAGGGATGAGGAATGAGGAAATGATAGAGAGAAGAGGCATAAGGAAGGGAAATGAGGAAGGACAGAGTGAGAAGATGGCTGGCGTTACATTGAAGACTCTCCAGCCATCATATCCTCACTGTCTCTTTCCTCATTCCTTCCCACTCCACTTGTTGCATGGCTGCGAGCAGCTTTTGATATCCATGTTGGCTGATGTAGTTGCACAAGCTTCTCCAGCATGGTTCGGGAAAGAGCAGTCCTTTAGACCCGCGGACTAGCTCAAACACTTGGTTCCCAAAACAGATTGTTTGGTGGTAAATCGAATCACCAAACACGGATCACAAGTCACTGGATAGCGCTAGAACGGCAAAACAGAGGTACATCAAAAGCTGATGCATAAAAGATAGTCACTGCCTGGCTCAAGTGACAGACCTTGAAGCCCAGCCTCTGATGCCAGCATAGCTGTTTTTTGATTCCGCACACACCCTGTTCCTGTCTCCAGGGTTCCAGAGCGCCACACAAATTGCTGCCTGGTATAAGCTGCAGTCCATTTGCTAGACTTTTGGGGGACCCGAGAATGTTGTCTACAAACGCCGCTTATGCAGCAACGGGAGCAACAATGATGGTTCTACGGCCTTGTTGAACATGCTCTCGACCGGAAGATGAAGCCCTCACCTTCTCATTCACTTGCAAAGCGCGGTCAGCCCAAGAATGCTCTGACCTCCGCAAGAGTCTTCGAGACAGCGCAAGCATGCCGCTCGCCACTTCCGGGCTTGCTCGGCTAGTTGAACAGCAAGCAGAGGCGCAGGCAGATGGTGTGATCGTTGTAGCCAATCAAAATCCCGTTTCCTGAGCCAACCATGAAAGTTGAATTGGGTCGCCCATGTCCGTCTCGCACAACATTTTTCTTCACGTATGCATCAAGAGTAAACACGTTGGCTTCCCAGAAGACTGCCCAGCACAGAGCATTGTGCGGGCATGGCTGTCTACATATGCGCAGCTACAAACTGTACACCAAACTTCGTTCGCTATCGGAAGCAAGTGCTTGTACCGGACACAAGCGCCGCACATGTTGTGGAGCGCGGCAGAAGCCCGCCACACAGGCAACATGATGAACGGGCCATCAAGGACATAGTCTTGAAGCTTCGCCGTTGCGCAGCAAAGACGTGGAGATAAGGAAAATCAACACAAACAACGGACCAGAATGGATTCGAACCCACAGCTTTGCCCACCCATTGGGCAACTGGTCCTACTGCATGGAATCAATATTATAGCCGTCAATGCTGTGGTTGCCCATCAAACAAGCAGAAGCGAGTAAAACATCCTCACCCCACATGACTGGCAGAACAGGCGCCAGTCAAGGCCATACACTCAAGGTGGAATTGGCTGGTGAATGGGGTTAAGATGTTGAGCCTGCAGAGCGAGGAAAGGAATGAGTGAAGAGATGCCATCTTTCTCGGAAAGGAAGAGATGGGCGCTCTTTCTTTTGTTGGGGTGGTGGTGGTGGTGGTAGCTTGGTGGTGGTGGTAGTGATGGTGGTAGCTGTGGTGGTGGTATGCTGGTGCTGGTGCTGGTGCTGGTGGTGCTGGTGGTGCTGGTGCTGCTGCTGCTGCTGCTGGCGGTGGTGGTGGTGGTGGTGGTAGCTGTGGTGATGGTGCTGGTGCTGGTGGGCGTTGTTGTAGTGGCGGAATAAGTGGGTTGAGGGAAGTGAAGTAAGGAATGAACAGCCACTGCTCGCTGACTGTGATGCCAGTGCTCGGCACGGTGCGAGGATAATCTTTGGCCCTCCCTTTTAGAACATTTGGCCAAACAATCGTTAAGCAAAAGGGAACAGCAAGAGCGCGCAGTAAAGCGTTTGAACATTGCTTGGCAATGCGGAACGGAGCAACATGCATATGCGACAAGCTTTTCACGTACCAGGCTGGAGTGACACTACAGATTTGTCTGAAACGAATACTTTGGGTCCAGCGGATAACAACAGGTTTGCAACAAAATCTGGGTTCTGTAAGCATGCCAGATCAGTGGACTTTTGGCGTTGAGAGCAAATCGCCAGTTGCAACTAGGCTCGTTTCAAGTCATGTGTGTCCATTGCAGAACGCATTTTTGATGCGGGCTTGAATGTTCATGAAATTGACTTGGAGCCGACCGCCCAAGCCAAGGACATCCGAGTCGAATGGGACAAGCCTTTCGTTCCTGCGAACCTGAGCCGCCAGCACCCCAACTTTGTAAAGTGTCAGAATTCCCCGCAGTCGGCTCCCTATGTGGCTTGCGGCGGGTACCTGGATTCCAACCTTGTGGAGGCCTGCACTTGTTGCATGCGTATGGACGCATGGTTGCATGGCTTTGTTCAGCGCGTGTCTCCTTGCAGGCGAGGATGAACAAGTGGCTCCCATTCAAAACGCTCAAAGGACAACTTGTCTCCAAATCGCACCCGCATCTTTTCAGGCCTGGAGCAGCAGTGGGCGAGACAATCGTTGAGACATGTGTTGAAGTGCGTTACAAATCGTGCCAGGCCCGCGAAAGTGCAGCTAAATTTCGAGCAGGACAATGGCAAGGCAATTTCTCCGATGCAGGAAATAGTGAGAAAAAATTGCTCGGTGCCCATTTGCAGAGGGTTTCCAGAAGTCTATGATTGCCTGGAAAAGACAGCCGAAGAAAAGTGCATGAAAGACTACTGCAAGGAGCCTCAGCATGCACATGCACAGCATGCGCTCACTAGCCAAGTGGCTGAGATTCATGTTTGTTTTGTGAGGATCGCTGCCTCGATCTTGCCAGCACTTCGTGCAGACAGGAACAAGAAAAGTTGGGAGCGCACTGGCCGTACTTGGGGGCTGTTAGTAGCACCATGTATGATGAGTTTGGTCCTCGCGGCTACTTTCGAGAACAGAGGTGTCTCGGTATCTTGCATTGAGCAGAGATGTGCTCATTTTTGCAGCACAACATTCGCTTGTTTGCATGTGCAACAAAGAGGACGCTAGCTACAGGCAAACGTCCCAAGGTTCTGGTTCTGGTTGAATGTGACGGTTCAGGAGGAGTACAGAGCGATTTTTAACGATGATGACACTTGGCAAGAGCATTTTGTTGTGTTCCCACGCACATGGCATGACTGTAGCCGAGGTGTTGGCCGACATAGCCGAGCATTGCTCCATGCGAAACTTGGTGCTAATCGCTGTGCTTTGGGATCCTGCATTGCTGAAGCAAGAGCTGGCTAAACACATTTATGCTTGTGTGCGTCCGTGCGTGCGCGAGGTTTGTGTGTGTGTGTGTGTGTGTGTGTGTATGGGGGTGGGTGCAATTGCATGGTTCGGTAGCAGCCCTTTCCTCTCCAAGCTTGTTCTTTCAGCTTGAGTGCTGCTCCACCGGGATGTCTCTTTCCATCAAGCATAACTGTGAATTCGGACAACAAGGCTGGACGACATTCTTGGGGTAGGAACAACACATAGGTGCTGATTTCACAAAGCTGGTTGGCATAGGCAGGGGTTGCCCATTTATTGCCACTGCAAGCCAACAGCATCCCGCTGCAGTATGACTTTTGAAAGACTCAACCGAGGCAGTGGTCTTCTGAGCTTGGTCAGGCTGGGCAATCGCATCGCGTCGGAGCTTCCTTTTTCTTTCTGGAATGAACCCAATAATTTCCCTGAAAGGAAATTACAAGGGATGGCTGAAATGGGTCATTTTCTCATTCCCCGCTGAGCACCAGCTTTTTTTTCTTGCGAGGGCAAGGGTCATGGGTCGCCCGGTTCTGAAGATCGTGGAGCGCTTGCTGGAGGCCTTGGTGAGGTGCGGTTCTGGCGGAAATTGCAACACGGAACCGACCCTAAAACGCGCTGCGACTCGAAACTGACCCCAAACACAAAACCCGTCCCTAAACTCATTCAACCCTACTGCAACTTCCAACCCCCCAAAACCAGTCATCCCCAGAAACCCACCCCACACCTGCCTGAAAGCAACCCTAAGCCCAAAAATGGTTGCCTTCCATTGACGCAAGCTAGTTAGGTAGGCGCCAGCCAATGGCCGGGCCCGTGACATCTGAAGCCCCGCCCTTGCTTTCGTGTTTTTGACAGTGTTCGCGCGCCCACATTCGTCATTGTAGGCCTTGCAAATTCGCGTTCGCGGCGCAGGCTCGCTGGCAGGTCAAGCTACCGAGGCCAGGTGAGCGTAAGTGTCCCGCAGTGTTTGGACAAAAGCCACGCCGGCTGGCACGCCTGCCTGATTGCCGCGGCCATCTTTCCTCTGTGAGGACATTGTTGCATTGAAGCCAGGAAAGGCCTCCTTCAAGGTGTTGTCGGCGTAGCTCAAAGCTGCGGACAACTCCATCATCCAGCGCTTTGCGCCGTTATAGTCAACCTTGAAGTCTCCAGCCCAAGAATGAGCTGGAAGTAATAATCCACCGCAGCGCGCAAGACAACGCGGCCTCCTTCAAAAAACACTTTTGCGCTCCTTGGACTCTTGATACACCCTGGAGCGCAATGCCTCAGATGGCTCGATGGAGGGGCTCGATGGAGGGTTCAAGCTGGAGGTCACAGTGCTCTGTCCAGTCCGCACTCAGCTGCTGAGTGCAGCTGCCCCTATCCCGTCTGAAACGCTGCCTTGAACCTAGCCAATGCGATGTGTGTGGCGGCAACCTGTTGGATTAGCTCGGGACTGTCTCGTTCCGATGGACTCAAGAAAGGCCTTGCGTCACTGAGCGCCTCGATGCGACTCACGGTTGCTTCACAGGGCCTTGAAAATCAAACACTTTGGAAGAGCATACACCTCATGCGGGAACACACGGACATACTGGCACCAGCTGGCAAATCTTGCGCCTACGAGGCCACAGAGAAAACCGACAAGAAACAAAAACAACAAAACCACAAGGTGAAGGTGAGGTGACTTCATCAGCAGACCTGCACGGTAGAACTTCCAACCTATTCATTCACGCTTCATTCGTTGTCGTCGGCTAAGGCAAAATACAGGCCCCGCGGCATCCGCCAAGACCCTGCAGGTCGAGCATCCTGTTTTTGACTCGAGCGCCGCGCGTGGTCTTGTAGCCGACATAGTGTGGGCCCATAGCGGCCGCCGCTCGGCGCCCTTCGTGGCAACGGGATCTGGAGCGGCAAACAATGGTGGAAGAGCTCACACACTAAATTGCGCCGCCGAAGACCTCCATGATGCCCGGCTCATGGGACGAGTCTGGGAAAGTTTTTTCAAACAAAAAGACACCTAGTGAGTCGTTGAAGTTGCTGGTCTGGGAAGCCTTTTGGCTTTGCTGAGCAAAAGAGCTTGATTTTTTGTTCTGTCATGACCCAGAACATGCCCAACGTGGTCCAGGTCTGATCCTCATCATCTTTCCAAGTGTCTCGCATCGCCACAGCCTTGACCGAGCAAAAGCAATCCTAGCAAGACGAGTCTGCATCCTGTCCCCCATTGGCTTCAAACTCACGTCCTCAACACCTGCGCGAACTGACAGACAGCGCTAGCTACTTTGCGCTTGTAGCAGCCTCATTCTCAACGATCCAAAGCAAGTTGCGATAGCTTCCGTCAAGTCGGGGAACTCCCAACGCGCAGAGTGTTTCACCAGGGAAGATCTGCTGACGCTGCGGCGCCCAACTATCAAGGACCGGAGAGGGGGCCACACAGGAAACTGCTGTGTCGCGTGGGAAACTCTGCATGCTCCAGCTTGGAACGCACGTTGGCCAAGATCGCAAACTTTGGTTGGACACAGCCAGCGTCCAACACATCGCCCACGCCCGCACGGGTTCCGAGAAAATGCTGGTCAGGGGCTGGTGCAAAGCTCTTCGCCCATTCATTCGGGGGGGTGCTCCCATCAGCCTGAAGATTTGGGTCAGACCGACTTGAGAGACATCGAAGTACGCAGCTACCAAGGCTTACACACAGCGGCGCGCCGCTGCCACACCAAGCTAGGGAAAACAGTTGAAGGTCACCGCTGCACTTTCAGCATGTTTCGCGGTTGCAGAAACGGAGGGAGCTGAGGAAGATGCAGAACTTCTTTTGTCTCTCCATGATGTCAATCCGTGTTGGCGATGTCATCTAAACTTACCACAAGACTTCCCCCAACCAAGGCGAACTAATCCAGAAAAGCTGACGCTAAACGACCTCGAAGCCGCTGCTTAAACCCACCTGAAAGCAACCCGAGCCGGCCTCAGCTCACCCTGCGCCCGAAACCAAGAAAAGCCCTGAATCGATCATAATCCCAAATGAACACTAAACTGTCGCGCCGTCGCCGCTTCGCATGTCTTGCTTTCACCCTTTTCCAGATTATTTTTTGTCACCGTTGCATTTGTAACTGGGTGCATTTGTTTTTGATCCCGAACATATATTTTGTCAAATCCACTATTCTCAAAAAGCAATATGGAATGGACATCAAAACTGTTTTCAATCGACCTTTTGCGAGGTGTGTGCTTTGCAGAGTGTTGTTTGCTGGGAGTTGGAATCTCGTTGTTGAGATCCATGCGCAGGAATCCAAATCTGTCCATGGATGGCCGCTTCAAAGAGCTCCCTGCTCCAATCTCAGACACGCGCTGCGCTTGACTGTGGGCAGATAGATTTCACATGACATGTGACATCCCGTGACATTGCGCAAGGCCTTGCGAGCAATTCTTGATGACCAGATTCAGGAGCCAATCGATTGTGTAGGGGGATTACCATCAAAAGTAGACTAGCGTCTGGAGGTTAACCATGGAAAAGCCCGAGCTCTAGCCATTCCGCAAGGCTAGGCGCTCTAGTTTACGCGTGTGCGCGCAGAGAGCTGCTTACGCGTTCAGCGCCGCGCTCGTCAAAGCCAGCCGTTTTTCAGTGTTCAGCCTCGTAAACCCTTCGTTTCTGGGTGTTTTCAAGGAACGCCTTGGGTTTGCATCACTTTGCGTCCAATTGCAAGATGCTTGTGGAAGGCAGCTCTGAGCAACACCCCCAGCAACACTCTTGAAAGCACATCAAACAAGGCCTCTTCAGAGCCAAAATACATTTTTTCTTTCCGGCGCAAACGAGGCCAGTTCCACCCGTAATGTTCACTGGACTGGCACTGGACGTTCGCTGGAGTGGCAGGGTTTTCGCTAGAGTGGCACTGGATTTTCATTGGAGCGGCGCCGGATTTTCATTGGCATAACACTGGAATAGCGCTGGAATGTGACAGGAGTGGTACTGGATGCACTGGAGTGGCACTGGATGTTCGGCACTTTCATGGGAGCTTCATCTGGGGAGCAGCGCAGGGTTTTCCCTGGTGGCGCTGGATGTTCACTGGGTTTTCGTGGGAGTGGCTGAATTTTGTGGAGTGATTTTCACGGGGTGGCCCTGGAAGGACAACTAGAATTGCGTGCGAGTTTTGCTAGTTTTCGCTGCTTCTCACTGGTGTTGCTTAGCTTTGGAGATCCTCCTTGCAAGGACCAGGAACAATCGGTCGGAAGACGGTCTTGATGTTGCCCGTTGAAACACCCGCCTCCCCCGCGTCACCGGCACGAGCCTGCAAAATTGCAAGCCCGACTTCGCAGACCACAAGCCAGCCCAAAACAGGCTCAGAAAAGGACCTGCCGGAAGCACAGTCTACGCTGAGCCTCCAGCCGCATCCTCCGGACCAAGTTGGCCGCAGCCGGATTCACGTTGCTGACGTGCGCTGCCCCTGGTAGTAGGTCTCAGGTTGGGTAACTCGGCGGCGCACTGTGTTTCTCCTGCTGTCTAAGACCGATGCTGAGGGTACAGGAGTAGCAAAGGACGTTGTGGTTCACATGCTTGGGATGCTATCTTGCACAAGTGAACTGGAGCCGAAAGAATGACCGGGTGTGGGATGCGCCTTGGTGCTGCGCCGAAGCGCAGTAGTGTGTGGCAGGCTTCGAGGGCGACGGGGCGTTCTGCTGGAGTGGTCATGCGCTATGCTGAGGAGGCCTCCATTCAGCCGGAAGAGGTTGTCGCCAACTGCAAAGCCCGAAACGCTATCTCTTTGAGGATCCCGGCAGTAGATGGTGTGGTTTAACAAAGTGGACTTCGCGGTTGCGGAGGGCCCAGCCAGGGAAATTGGAAAGTGTGTAAAGCGCGCAAGGGATTTGAACAAGCTTGCCCAACCATCCGTGGAGTTTGTCTAGGTCGGAGAAGATGTCCGGTCTACGAAAGGGACCCGGGTGTGTGCCGCATCCGGGGGCTCGCCGAGAGTGCAGTCCGGACAGCGAGACAAATTCCACCGAGGCGCGTCGTGAAAGCCACCAGCTGTGGGAAAGCGCTCGCCGGCTTTTTGGCGGGTCCGTCCAGACTACCGTGCACGGCTTTCGGGTAGAGGTCAGCGCCGGGCAGCCTGGAATGTTCTGCGACGGCTAGGACGCGCGCAACGAAAAACACGCGTTTCTGCAAGTCTCCACCCACCCGCCTCCAAACTGCTGCGATCACCGTGTCTGATCAGCGGAGTCGCTATGTGGCGCATCGCATCCAAGGAACTCCTCGTGCACCAACTGCGTGCGGCCGCTTGCGTAGAGTGGGCGGGTAGTGAGGGACGGCTGAACACCTTTGCGTAGACGCCGGCAGGGCTACCGTCGCGTTTGAACCCTATATAGTTGCAGAGCCAAAAGCTATGAGAGGGAGGCTGCAACAGTAATTGCAACGAAGCAACCGTGATGACAATGAAGCAGCAGCAGAAATGACAAAGGCAGCCGCAAGTGGTAATGAATCGCAAACAGTAATGATATTGCAGCAGAAGCAGCAATGATAATGGAACAAGAGCTATGACTCAGACAACAACAGCAATGACAATGAAACAGCAACAGGAAAGACAATGAGGCAAGGACCATAAAGCACACGTAATGATCGTTCAGAGCCAAAAACCAAATTGAAGCAAGCGTATTGTAAATGACAAAGACAGCAACGATGATCAGCCAAAGAAGCAAAAGCAATGACAATGAAGCAACAGCGCAAATAAAGCAACAACCCCGAGCACCTCCCCGTTCTTGGAGAAGGGGTTGGCGGATTCCTGCGTCAGCGGCCAGGCTCTCAGGCAGGGAAATATAGCCTTGACCTACTCACTGAGTTTTGACCATGACGCAGGGTAGGCTTTGTGGGTTGTGGTGCAGGACTTCGTCTCAAACTTCCGCCTGCCCGTCGTGGTGTTGCACAAGCCAGGGCTCCGGCCGCTCACCATGACTGCTTCCTGGATCCAGGTCATCTCAGTCAATGTCACAGCGCTAGACCAACAATGTGGCACGCCGAATTGCTCTGAGATCTGGAGAAGTTTAAAGAGGGGGGGGGGTGAGCGGGGCCAATGACAAAAAGCTTGGAGCCACTTGAGAAAGAGCAAACCAGAGTCGGGGTGTATCGGTGTGCAACTCAGACGGTCTTCCAGCTGGGGCGCTGTGGTAGAAGTAACGTGAAAAACTTCTGCGGAACGAAAGGTGATTGATGGAGCGTGCAGTCGTTATCTTGCTGCTGCATATGACGTGCCTTTTGGACCCAGAGCGTAGCAGGATGGAATGGCACACACCTGAATGGACCAGAACCCAGAGTACAACATAGGATGAAACACGGGTGCAAGGAAATGAAACTAGTTCGAGTCTGCCGCTTGGGGTGTGCACTTGTGAGCACCTGCGTTGACTCGAGCCATGACACCTTTGCTTGCAGAATCGCACAGCTCAGGTTTGCTTGTCCACAGATCCATCAAAAGTCAGCTTCGTAAATCCCGACATGTATGCCACAGTGATCGACAGATTGGCAGTGGCCGTCGAACTCAATGATACCTGGGAGCCGTGGTGTGTGTGTGTGTTTTTTGTCCTATGGGCTTAGCCTGACATTGTCACTTCCTTCTGGTCCACGCAGCACTTGGATTGGAGGGTTCTTGCACCAGGAGGCTGCTTCGTTGACGACCGCCATCCACGATCTGTCCCGTTGTGTCAGAACGAAGAGGAGCCGATTCCAGCGCTTTGAGGCAAGCAGTTGCAGAAGTAGTGATTCAAGACGCGCCAATGAGGAGCCTTTGCAAAGTTATTTGGTGCCTCACTCGGTACTGCGTCAGCCAAGCAAACCAGTCTAAATGCTAAGGACCAGACCAAGCCATCCCTCTTCAACGTGGCGCCAAGTGATGATGTCTTCGAGGACATGTTTGAGGTACCTCGCCCTGGCAAGTGCCAGAGATTTGTTTTGGCGCTGCAGTTTGCCTTTGCTTGCCTGGGCTCAGGTTTGTCACTATGACGGCGTACTGGAAGAAGGTAACTCAACTATTCTGCACGTAGCTGCTGCCAAGAACTTCTCCAAGTCATTTCAGAAGGCCTGGACTTGGTCGGCCTTCTCAGGTTGCGGACCAATCGCACGCCTCTTTTTGCATCAACATGCGTGCTTATCCATTGCTGATCACGCCACTGGTCAGTTGGGGTTACTTGTCAATCTCTCATGTCGGTGGCGGAGCCAAGGTGGCTGCGCCATTCTGAAATTGGTGTCACCCCTCAACCCTCTAAGCCTCCATGTGACAGTCGGGGACCCACTAAGTTTCCCACAAACAGCAGAGGACTGACTATTTTTTCCGTGTCCTGCGTACTAACGGGATATGTTGATCGTGGGACATGTGCAAAGCTTCTTCGCTGTTTGTGCTTGCTGACTCGGACTTGTCACGGCTTGTCTCCCGCTTGTCTCCCCACTTGTCTCCCCACTTGTCTCCCCACTTGTCTCCCCACTTTCCCCGCATGTTTCTCCCCACTTGTCTCCCCACTTGTCTCCCCGCTTGTCTCCCCGCTGGTATTCCTCTTGTCTCCCTTGTCTCCCTGCTTGTGCTTGGTCATGCTTGCTGACTCGGACCTTGTCGCGGCTTGTCTTTTATCTATCTCCCCTGCTTGTGCTTGCTGACTCGGACTTGTCACAGCTTGTCTCCCCACTTGTCTCCCTACTTGTCTCCCTACTTGTCTCCCTACTTGTCTCCCCGCTAGTCTCCCCTGCTTTTGCTTTGTTGCTTTGTGATGCTTGCTGACTCGGACCTTGTCACGGCTTGTCTCCCCACTTGTCTCCCCACTTGTCTGCCCACTTGTCTCCCCACTTGTCTTCTTGCTCGCGCTCTTGCTGGCGCTTGCTGACTCAGGCCCTGTCTTGTTTTCCCATATGTCTTCTCACGTGCTTTCGCACTTGTCACCCCACTTGCCCGAACACTTGCCTGCAGTGTTCGCTTTTTGGTTTCCATGACACTTACTTGCCTTGCGTTTTCAGGTTTCAATACATGAAAACAAGGCTGCAACAAGACTTGACGACAAGGGTTGGCTGCCCAATTGTTCCTCGGCCCACAAACACCTCCCTTTCCTCCTGAGCCCATCCTCAGCCATTCTGCGATCCAGGCTCCAGTATCCTGGACACATTTTACGTACGACTCCGTTGAGCGCCACGCCATATTCGGCCTTGCTCGCTCATTGCACAGACCCAGCTAAGTTCTCGGAGCACTGGCACAAACTAGCATTCGCAGGTGCTTCGTACAGCGATCAATCTCTCCAGCAATCCTAGCCCAATTCACAGCTGGCACTTCTGGCACCGCAGTAATGTTAACTTCGGATTAATCCGCAGGACTCTAGTCCAAGGCCTCTAAAAGGGGAGCCACAGCTGAGAAGTACGGTCCTCCGGATGAATCCGAAGCTTATTCCAGCTCCAATTTGGAGGAGGCTCCACCCACTAGGATACGTTGGTCCAAGATTGTAAACACTGGTTGACCAAGAGTCTGAAAGTCACTGTTGTATGATGCTGTCTTGTTGCCGTTTTTGACGGCGGCTTTGCACCCGAACAAAAAATGCGGTGGCCGATGCTCATGTAGAAACCAGACGCTCTTCAGGAATCCCAGGACCACCTTTGCTGGCTGTATTGACTCTTTGTCAAGACACTACTATTAGGGTGCGATTGCTGCTTCTGTTTGGCAATGGGCTTCTGTTTGGCAATGGCAGAGGTTAGATCGCAGCAGTTTCTGCTCGCATTTTTTTTTGCCTTGTTTATCCACTGTTTGATCCAACTTTGGTTTTGACATTGGGATTTGCGATCTGTTTGCTATTTTTAGCCCTTTGTTGATTTTCTATTCTCTGAGTTTCTGGCTTCGATGTTTTGACTCTCTGCTTTTCCGCAAGTTCTATTGTAAATGGGTTTCGTTTTCTTTTGACTTTCGCATTCGCCTTTGGCAAGGCCAGCGCATGCACATATGCCCAGATGCCTACGCCTGCTCGTCATGCCCACCCTAAACCAGCCCTAAGCCTCTGCACGAACATCACAGCCTCGCCTTCCTGAGCGCCAGCCTCCGCCCACTATAGCTTTCATAGGCCCAAATCGACCGGTTCTTCTCCTTTCAGTCCCGCAAAATGAGCCTTCACCTCCCGCGGGCGCACTGCCGCAAGCTAGAAAATTGGGCCAAACCCGCCAGCGCCTTGACTCCTTGTCCATGTCCCTCTGCCGTTTGGTGCGTTGCCCGGGCATCATTTGCACACTCATGTCATTGTGTACAGATGGCGAAAGACCTCCGACGACATGTTTGCGTCATTTGCACACTCCCAAACAGTTGAGATCAGTGCACAGAGAGACCCTGAGGTCATGCAGGAGCTGAAGGGTTTCCAGAGAAAGAAGAAAAGCATGCTTCGACAGAATCTAGATGTCAATCTGGACAGCTGGGGCACCCGCACATTCAACGACGTGAGACTCCATTTTTGGGACCTAACGCCCCTTCATGCTGCATGCAGTTCCGGCTGTGTGACGTGCGTGAAGTCCCTACTGGCTGCCAAAGCAGATCCGAACCGAACGCAGTGCATCCAATCCCTTCCTCCCTGGTATGGAGATTCTTTTCACCCATGGATGTTTGATGAGGGCGAAGATCTCGAAGAGGCAAAGTATGCAGCACTCGAGGATATTTACCCGTTGCACTTGGCAGCCAAGAATCGCTGTGATGGGTGCTTGCAAGAGATTTTACGCTCAAGAGTTGCTGTGGATGCTGAGATGCTTATGGGGATGTCAGTAGCTGCTCTCGGTGCACCTCTCGATTTGCATTCACTTCAACAATCCGAGTTGACATGCCGTTTCCGAGCATTGGATCTGGCAGTTCTGTTCAACTGCAGCAGATGTGTCGACATCTTGCTGCACGCCGGGGCAAACGACTCGCATGTCGTGCTCAGTGAGACGGGAGGCAAAGATGAGTTTCCTTTGCCACCTAGCTGGAGGGTGGGGGCGACAATTATGTTTGATCGACCATGCTTTTGGAGACATGGAATTATGCCCTCACTTTGCTAGGGAAACATAAACACAGATGCTGAGGTTGGAAATGCTGCCCAAAGCGAAGGTGCAACGATGCTCGATGTTGAAGATGCAGGCCAAACTCGACCTCTCGCCCGGCTCCTTGCTGCGGCATACCTGAGTGTGCAACAGTGGCGCCACATCTGGGGGGACAGTAATTCGGCCCTGCGCACTGCAAAGTCTGGGTGCACTGTAGACACGAGCAACATGCTAGATTTGTGTACGAACGCGTGCGGCTGTTGACAGAGCATAGCTTGTTGAACATAGGACCAGCCCACCTAGGCGTGCTTGGGTAATGCACACTTGACAGGATGGTCTTCAACAGAAGCCGGCTTCTTAAATCTCGCTCATCAATTTTTGCCGTTGCTCGCAATTCGAGGCCACCTGCAATAACTGTCACACTGACCCCTCATGCTTCTTGCCGTTTTCCGTGTGCAGTAGGGACACCAAGTACTTCATCACAGTTGCTGGTTGCATCTTGCAGGCATGAAGAGTTCTTGCAAGCTGTGAACCAGGAGTTGGTCAGCAGCTAGCTTAGCTGCCTGAACAAGGCATAGACATCTCTGAGCTCAGCAAAATAGCTAAGAAAAAGGACTCTTATTATCAAAATTAGTTCAATCAGTAATCTGGAAAGGATAGTTTGCCCGGGCCTTGCCTGACAGTGTTGTGAACAAGTCGGGCCTCAGAACTCAAATGGCAGACCAGAGATGCACGGGCCCATGCCGACCACCCATTTTGTCTCACTTACCTTGCACCCATTCCCCAGGCTCGCACGCAGCGCTCACCAATCATTTCCACCCTGTGCCGCCGCCTTGAGCCACAGTCCTTCATGAACTCTGTTCAGAAACTTTGTCGCTCCGCCGGCCCAGCTGATGCCGTGAGTGAAATGTCCACACCACATGACAGGAATAGGTGCCTCAGATCCACGCGCAAAGTTGATGCAGGGTTGAAAGGTTGTCATAGGGCCCAAGCAGGGGCAATTCTCTTTGTATTAGAGCTTTGCAAACTCTGCTTGCTCATCAAACGGAAGAAGAGGGAAGGCCCACGTTGCCGAAAGTATACACATTGCTTGATGTGTTTGAGGCGGGCTCAAGCAACCGGCAAGACCGCAGCAGGGATCTCTTCTTGTGCGTTTCAATCAAGCCTTTGCGCAACATGTTCAAGCTTGAGGAGCTGCGTTTCTTTGCAAAGCTTGATGTTCGCCGGTGTGATGATTGTAACAGATAACAATACTTTCGTGATGTTGAACATGTCCTTACAGAGCGCCGGCTTTCGCGTGCTCGCAGCCTGGGCGCAGGAAGCGACTTTTGTAAAGCGCAGGCTCAAACACGATGCCGGCAGTTTCGTGCCAGTTGCATGTTGTGAATGGGCTTCATTGTGCGCGCCTCCGCCAGACCCATTGTTACCACCGACCAGGAAGTCAAATGTCGTCTAAACAGACCGGACATTGGCCGAAGTTGTGGTTTAGTCCTGCCGATGTCGGGTTTATGACCTGCAATTCACGAAAGGATGTTCCTGCCAAGACTGGAGATGTGTGGGCAAAGCTGGCCCAGGAGTAGGCGAGTGGTACAAGGACAAAGTTACAGCCTTGGAGGCAGGTGGCTGCATGCTTGAGTTTTTGCTCGCTGCCTTGGGGTGTCCAGCGCTCACTTAGAGAACAATATAGAAAACATATCCATACCATACTAGCGGTCGTACTGGACGCTCTGTGATCTTGGAGCAGATTTGAGACATGTTTTGAACGCAGCCGGCGCGAGCTGCGTGCCACCTCGCAGGCTCGAGTGCGGAAGTTGGACGATGGTCAGAGCCTTGGGCATTGGAGAGGGGGCACCTGGAAGCGCTGAGGAGACGCTTGCGGCATTGGCAATGGTCAAGGTGGATCCCGAGAGCTCGCGGAATGGGACGGGATGGAGGTTGGTGCCAGGTGCCGAGGCTGTAGCACCTCTTCATCTCGAGGCTTGCGGCCCTGAGTGGGGGTTCCCGGCCCTCAACTTGTCACAGGCCGTGCGGCTGACGGAGTTCGTGCTGCTGAACGTGGAAGCCTTGAGAAAGATAGTGAAGAAGATGGACAAGACCCGCCCCCAGAGTTGCGGAGATCATAGCGATGGGTGGAGTGTCCTTGTCCAGACATCTCAGGACGTGCGGGACAACGTATCAGAAGGCCCAGCACCTGAGAGTTCCATTCCATCGTCTCAGCGTTATCTGGGTCAAAAATGGGCACCCATTCTGGTAACCCTATCCTGGTGGCTTAATGTTGGCGCATGCAAATGCCATCCACGGGCTTCGGCACTTCGGGACGCATGGCGCTTGCGGCGCTTGCGCTTCGCGCCCAGAGCTTCGTGGAGCACAGCTTGAAGCAGAGTCCTCTGGCCACGAAGTCCTCCGAGCCCTTCAACGGCGTCGGCCTGCCGCGCTTTCCGAAATCGGATGGTATGGGTCAAAATTCAATCAGAAAAAAGGGGAAAAACACAACAAAAACACAAAAGCCAGGTTTTGGCCCATGTTTTTTCATTTACCAGGGCGCCTATTTTTGACCCACAGCCAGGCTGGGAAGCTCCCTAGTATTGCAGAGGCTGATGCTGAGGATGTTAAAATGCCGATGGCAAATCACAGGCAGCACTGGGATCACACTAGCGATACATTCATGTCATTTTCACGTTTCGTTTCTTCACTTTGCGAATGCATTGGGGTCGATCAGGCATGCGGCCGTGTTGTGAACGACAGTAGATTGTCACAACGAAAGCGGTGAGGATAGATGAAACGATCTGAACCAGGGAAAGAACATGGTGCAAGTTGCAGTTCAGTGTCACTTCCTTATACTATTCTCATGGTATTCAGCTCTGTTTCACACTTATTGCCGGCTGGGTGCAGAATCAGGATAGGCATCGACGAGCTTTAGCGTTGCGTTCTAATATCGCGTAGTGTTCTTGAGTGCAGCTTAAGACAAGGATCATGTGGCCATGCCCCATACCCCCAGTGAACATCCTAATCCCCACCAAGCCGCCAAAATAGATTAAAAAGGGTGGTGCACCTATCCCAAGTGGTACCATTGGTTTTGAACAATGGCCATGTGTCCAAGTCTTGCGATGCGTTTTGTCCTTCTTGTTGACTGGGCAACCTTTCTTCCAACTTCGGACGCCGGCGGAGCTTTTTTCGCGCGGCCAGGAGCGCGCCCGGGCCTGTCGCCGTGCCCTGGAGCAGCTGGTGAGCCCAGAGCGGCTCCAGGAGCTTCGGTCCCAGGCAAGAGCAAGCGAAGCACGAGATCCGGTGTAGGGATTTGGCTGTGGGTCAAAACCAATGTTGCCATTTTGGGGTAGGTGTACCACCCATTTTAGTCTATTTTCGTGGGGATTGGGATGTTCACTGGGTGTACGGGCTTTTGACCCATGGCCATGTGGGTGAAAGAAAGCTCCTTTGCAGGCAATGGAGTCCGGTGGAGTGGGTCTGTCGAAGAAGCCGTGGTGCATGCCCTGTCCTTGGAGCATGAGATGCGCTGGCCAGTACGGCGCTAGATGACCTTATGAGCACGCACCCCTTAAAAAGGCAATTCCTCAAGAATCGCTGGGCAGCGCATGCACTTGATCTGGTTCCAGCATTTCAATCCACTTCACCAAGGAAGCGCACCATGTTGTCAATTTGCGCTGCATTGCTGGCAGTCCTGCTGTCGACGCCCCAAGTGCCTGAAGAGGGGTTGACTGGACCAGCAGCAACGTGCGAGGTTCAATGACCACGGGCACTTCATGAAAGCCAGAAAATGTTTGGGTTTGATGATCTTCACTGTCGTCATGTGGGCTGGACACTCGATTTGGCAGATGAAGAATGCGGTGCGGGATCTCTGCCTGACTCATTTGTGAATGCCACGCCTAGGTTTCAGAGGCGGCTCCCTTTGAAGCTACCGCAATGTGCCGCCCTTGTCCAGACGAAACGAATGTCCCGAAAACCGGCGACATCTCATGGCTCCCTTCCGACAATGCGCTCTTCTCCAGGCTGGTGGCGCCTCTAGCAGCTGCTTTGGATGTCATGGAGGGCAGTAGGGAGGAGCAGGCCCGAGACATTTGACAGCCCAAAGGGCCACTTGTGAGACATGTTGAGACATGTTGAGACATGTTGAGACATGTTGAGACATGTTGAGACATGGTGAGACATGTTGAGACATGTTGAGACAGGTTGAGACATTTTGAGACATTCTGAAACATTTTGAGACATGCTGAGACATGTTGAGACATGTTGAGACATGTTGAGACATGTTGAGACATGTTGAGACATGTTGAGACATGTTGAGACATGTTGAGACATGTTGAGACGCGAGAGCTTTGGATCGGTTGATCTCGAGTTTTCATCAGGCTACAAAGCTTTTGGCCTCGGTCTTCAATGTATCACCGGCAGGTTCTTGCCGGCCACATTTGGTTGGGACTTGGGTGGCAAGCTCTTGCCTTGTCCAACAATATCACAGGGAGGGTTCGAGCTGTCGTAGCTGTGCATCAGTCCAACAACTTCTCTTGACACACACATATATATATATATATATATACATATTATGAATATATGTATATATACATTATATATGTATAAATGACAGAATTACTCTGACGGTATGTGTTCGACAAATGTAATGTAGCCCATGACACAGATGTACACGAGATGACTCAGACAACACTCGTAGCATCCACATGTCTGTCACAAATGTCATTCTTGGTATCTAGGTCTACACCTCGGCTTTTGAGCACCTGATAATTGCAGCTCTATCTCGCTCTGGAATCTGTCCGATGGAACCCACCATATGGTGCTTTCCATCCAAGGCCCCTTTGCAACTTTTGCCAGGAATCCCTGTACCTCGTCCTCAGCGGTTTTGCCATGAGCTCCATTTTCTCCAAATGCCAGCTGGATTGCCGTGAATTGCTGAGACAAGTGAGACGGTGAAACTTTGCGCATACCGCATTCACCTTAAAGCCTTTGCCAAGGTGCAGCTTCCATTCTTCAGCGTGCGTTTGGCCACAGGCCACGGATGCAGACATGGAGCAAGCCACTGATTCTGGTTCCATTGTTTTGGGGCATCAGGCCTTCTCTCTTCATGTTGGCCATCATGTTTCTCGGCCTGCCACTCGTGGCCGGGTCACCGGTGTGTGTACGTGTGTGTTGCACCAAGGTGTAGGCCTCTCTGCCCTGTTGTCCAATGCTGGGGCCTGGGCTGTGCCCTATTTGAGGTCTTTGGTTTGGATTGCCCCTTGTTGCATCGTCTCACTCGGCAAGGTGACGGCCCCGCTGCTTCTAATAGAGGTGCTGAAGCCGTTAATCCGCGACATGCCGACAGACAGATGGGCGCTTAGGGCCAGGTCGTCTGCGCATTTGTGTGGCCGTAACCTTTTCTTTCCTTTTCTTTCCTTTTTCTTTCTTTCCTTCCTTCTTTCCTTTTGTCCCTTCTTTCCTTCTTCCTTTTTTGCCGTTTTCCTGCTTTCTGGCCATGTGTTGCAAGCATGGCTCATGGCTCATTGGACATGTTCGAGGCCGGTACTCCCGAGCCTTGCTATTGGGATTAGCCTTCTCCTGCAATGCCGGACACCTAGATGTTTGGCTCCCCACTCGAAACCCATACTGTGGATGGACGAAATCCTGCACACCCAAGAAACCCTGGAATGATGATTCCCCTGTAAATACCCACAAACAATGGTTTCCCATGGTTTCAAAGTGGTGCAGGTTTTCGTCCATCCACAGTGCTTGCTGTGTCTCCCCGAGGTCGGAGGAATGATGACACCGATTTCATCCCCACAGAATGTCGCATCTCTACAGGCACACCGCTGCCATGAATCACTACCAATCACTGCCCAGGCAGTATTGAACTCCCCAGGCTTTGCGCCAGCATCACAAGGACATCAGCTGGGACGAGTGGCCAGACTCTCGTACTGCTTGACTGCCCTGCCTCGCCTCTTGTACGTGGGTTGAGGCTGTGCCTCAGCATCCCCTTTTGCACGCTGTCCGTGATCTTGGTGTGGCTTTTGTCCTGCTGGCATGTCATTCCCTGCCTTGTCGCTGAGTGCGCCCTTGGCAGGCTCCTGCTGATCCAGCGGTTTGACCTCTCTAGCAATGAGGCTAGACGGTCTGCAATCGGTGCACTCGTACATGATGTCGTTGCCTTGGAGGCTCAGCAACTGCAGACACCAGGTGCATCATTTGGCCGCTATCTTATCGTGCCCAGTCGATGCCGTTGGTTCAGCATTACACATTTGCCTCATTGACGTCTCAGGAAAGATACCACCGGTCATGTTCGAAAAAGAGGATCTCTCTCTTGGCAAGATTTGTGGCCTGATGGGTGCAGTGGCTACGCTTGTGGCCTTCGTTGGCAGCTCAGAGAGTCTGAGGTCCGCTTGGCAGACCCCACTTGCCAATTGTTCCAGTGTTCAAAGCTTAGCTCAGGCGTATGCGCCAGCAGGATGCTTAGTGGAAGCTTGAAACTTCCAAAGCCAGTTTCGAGAGCAGGTGGCGGCATACTTTGGCGGCACCTCCTCTGTGGCCTTGCTGTTCGTTGCCGGAGTCCAAGAAACGAGCTCCGCGACTCTGTGCGCTGGACGGTTGGACATCTGTTTGCCGGTCTTCCCTGCATGCCAAGGCCTTGTCGCTAGGATCGGGCGGTATTTCAAGGCCTCGGGATTCGCAATTGGCCATTGGAATTGCAGATCAATGCGCCAGGCAGACCTTCAACTCCTACAGTTGGCACCTTCTTTTCCTGATCGGCGGTGGCAGCGCTTTGGGTGCTCCCGCTCTTTGCACAGGAAAAAAAATACACGCTCTGATTTGGCGAGTAACCATCAACTTGGACTGTCGCTGTTGCAGAGCTAGCATGTGCCAGGTTTGGCAGTGCGTGAGAGTGGGCTCTTGGGACTGGTCACAGACTCCGTTCGGAGGCTCTGAGCAGAGAACTGGAGTGGGCAACAAGCGGTCATGCCAGATATTGTGCCAGGCAGCTGTCATCATCCCCGTGGCTCCTCGTTGCCCAACTCATACTTGCTCCGTGCTGAGCAGGCTTTCAAAACAGACGCTGCAGCGCCCAAGCCACTACCCCAAGACCTCTGAACATTTTGCCTACATGCTTGGGGAGTCGTCTCCAACCGGGTACTTGCCTCAGCGAGTTTTGCCGCTTTTTTGGAGCAAATCTTCAGGTTATTGTAGGCGCAACGACTTTCGTGTCGCACACGGCCGGAAGCTTAGCAACTGCCTCGCCGAGATGTGGTCAAAACATTTTTGGGAGAGTACTTGCGGGACATTTTGGAGTCATGTCCTTTGCATGGCTCGCATTTCATTTTGTGCACCATGCTCAGAGGTCGCAGCGCTGGTGCTCATGCCGCTGGCGGGCCAACAACCTTGTACCACCTTTGGTTTACACTCTTCAAGAAAGCTTGGGAGGTCGAGCGAGCAATCAAAACACTGGTTTCCCAATAACGATTTGAGTTGAAGGCCAGCACCTCACCGCTGGCAGCATTTTCCGGGTGCCGACTGTTTCCCGGAGGTCGTGCAGCTGGGGGAGGAAGCCGGGGTGGAGCGGCTGGCTGTGCTTCTAGGAGTCGGGTGGCTCAGGCAGAGGCATGGAGCGGGAGGTCCGGGATGCATCGGATTGCTCGCACTGCCAATCTCAACTTTGAAGCGGCCTTCTTTTTTTTTGGGCATCAGAAACCTGAACAGGCCTTGATCCTGGCACCAAGTGTGGCACAATGAACGCCCAGGAGCTGTAAGTCCTAAGGAGAGTGAGGGGGAATGAGAGACAGGGACGGAATTGAGTTCGCACACGACCGACATGATAGCAGCCAAGCCTTTGTGGCCAGCAGATTCCAAGACTTCAAGGTTGGAATGGTTGAGCTTTGCTTATGCGGACTAACTGAGAGCAACAGAAAAGGTCATCCAGATCTTGGGAAGCTGACCAAACAGTGTGGAAAACGTCTCATCCCTCCATCTTGCGTGCAAACCCACAAGCCAGCACGCCGAATGGGAAGGCCCCACCGGCTTTGACGTGATATCCATTGTCCACGGGTAGTCAAATGCAAGATCACTGATTTCTCGTAAAGAAACTAAAGGCATGTGCCGCACTATGATGGGTAAGTCCAGGAAATGGCAAAGCATGAAGAAGGCAAGAAACCAAACTTGGAAGGTTTCGCGGACAATGTCCGCCATTTCGTGGCTGCACAAAACTAACACGCAGGCTCAAGACCAGCGGAATAATTTGGCGAGGTTTTGCTGCTTAATTCATGAGCAGGTTGAAACCTCCAGGTCTTCATTGGTTGCGAGGCCTTTGCCTGCTCGACAGCTTGCGCGCTCCCGATGACGAGTTTTCCAAATGTCCCGCACCCGGCATGCAGATTCCCAGATCTTCCCCATTGCACGTGCGGGGACATGTGCTCCGCAGGTCAACTCCCTGATGGCGCTGGACGACATCGGGAAGCCATGGCTGTCTGTAAAGAACTTTCTGGTGGTGCAGGGCTCAGGGGCTCAAGGCCGCTGTCATTGGAAGTGGCGAGACGCTTTATGCGTAAGGCCGGAATTCCAACTACCACGGCATTGGCTGTACTCCTGGCCACGGCAGGACTTCTACTCAGATAGTGTGAAGGACAAGCCGAGGAAGCAATGCAACCAAATGCAGGTCTTGTGTGTCGTAGAGCTCGGCCTGAACTTAGGTTACAGCATTGGAAGGTTTGCGCTGCATTGACAGAGCGTTGTGATGTCGAAACACTGTGCGCTGAGAGCTATGTTGTGTCTAATTCACAGAATCCGGTCTGATAGACGGAGCGACACTCAGCCCAGCGTTTGGCGGCATTCTCTTTCATGCTGCAAGAGTCAACCAAATGCCATCTCATTCCTCACCACCAAGAGATGCAATGGAGGGGATGTTGACCCAAGCCATATGTCTATCCTGCCAGCAGCTTGAAGCATGCTTGAACCACGGACAGCAGTGACCACTTTCAAGCCTCCAAACCACTACACGCACCTGGCTGAACAAAGTCGGACGCACAATCTTTTCTTTGCACGGTGACGTGATTCAAGATGTCGACCTTCTTTTGATTTGGGACCCCCTTGCTTTTGCAACAAGAGACACCATAACACTCCAATCCTTGAAATGCCCTGTGAACTTTGCAACCTGCCAGTGGCAACCGAGAAGCAGCAAGAGCAACGACAGCAGAGAAAAGGGCGCGTGCCGCTCGAGACTCACCATGGTTCTGGTGGTGGGTGCCGCCAATGGCGTGCTGGCATCAGGCGCGAGAAGGTCGTTGGGAAAAATGGCTGTGGTGGTCAAAACCGTTTTGGGATCCCATTTTGGGGTGGGGGTACGGGCTTTTCAACCGTGGCGAAATGGGAGAAGCTTCGGCGACGGAGCCAAGTCGCATTGCCTCGTTACTGTCGGGCGTACTGGCCGGCACTTGGGCTGTTGAATTTGACATTGTGACATGTGCTTGGTGTGCGGGTTGGGAACCCAAACCCAGATTTCAGAGCCCTTAACATGGGCCACGTGTGGAATGCCCTTCTAATGAACTGCATCCTACGACCTTCAATCCAAATTACATCCGCACAGGCCTACCCTCCAGGGCTGCGGCTGATGATCAAGGCTGTGGCAGATGGAGGCAACGGATGCTACACATCCCACAGCCAATTGCGTTGGCTGCCAGGATAACGTCAGCCTCCTCATTCTGTGATGCTGCTGATGGGGAAGTGACGGCGGAGGTGCGGTCCAGAGCAGAAATGGGCTTCTCTTGATCCTTGCTTGCATTTGTCCCAGGAACTCCGACTGAGCCAAGTGACCGACATCAGCAAGTGCCTTCAGCTGCTTTTACGTGAAGTAACAAAGGAACGACGTCATTCGAGCAGCATGCAAACGGCCCTCCCGATGGCGCAAGAGATTTGCCAGGTTGAAGGGCCAGGTCTTCCAGACGCTCCTGAATGCGAAGCTGTTGGCCGTCAACACGAGCTACTGGACATACGGGATATAAGTTAGGGGTGTTGTGACGGTTGGTATCCCAGGCTATGTAATCTACGCCTTCAAAGAGGGCAGCCTTCGGGTTATCAACCAGAGTGCTAGGGCCTGGTGCTCAGAGTGCATATGTCGTTTGTTGTGTTGTTCCCTTTTTTAGTTTTCTTTTTTTTTCTCGCCTGTTTTTTCCCGACTTTTGTTTTCAGCCTTTTTGCCACATCAAACAGAGAGCTGCCGTGTTTGAGGACCACTTTCGGTTGACGAACTCGACGAAGGCGGCGCTTTGCTGGCAGCTTGAAACCAACCAACTGCCGGCGGAGGCGCGGATCATGGACCTGGCCCTGCCGCCTTCGGAGCGGAGCCCGGGATGTTTCTCGGAGCTTTCGGGGCACTGGAAAGCATCTCTCCGGACTCCGGGATGTTTTTTCTCTTTTGATCTTGCCGGAAAGGCCGAAGCCAAAGGCGACAACATCTTGCTTTGCTCGCAGCTGAGCATTTTATACTTTTTTGCTGATCATTTGACCAGCGAGCTTTGTTTGTCGGGCACTTCTAGGTCTGGACGAAGAAGGAAATCTTAGCATCTTCCAGCTGGATGCACTGCTCTGAGCCACGCATGATCGTGATCAAGGCACCAGTCGTGCTACATTTGGGACAGGTCCAGCCAGGTGCCACGGGTGCAGAGCGAACGCTCCGGTCTCAGAAGACATGCACTGCTTAGAAGCCCACACCTATGCTGACACCGTAGGCGCATGTTTGAGATGGCCTTGCGAGATATGGACATGCCTCAGCGGGTGCTCCTGCACAAGGCGCTCTCTGTGCAGCATTGCCGTGGAATTCATCAGTTTCCAATGCCGTTCAGATTTGAAGGAAGACCACAGAACAATGTTCAGGGCTCCAAGTTTTGACATGGGCAAGCATTACTCCCTGCCACAACCCGTTCTATAGTTCTGTGGCTTGGCAGGACCCTCGCTTTTTCGTGACAGCCCACGCAGCCAACATGCGGCTGTGGAGCCTGCCTCGCATCTTGCAGGAACTTTGTCAACGCTTCGCTCGTGGCGAGTGGCTTGCATGGAAGCTTGTGAAGGAGATGCCGAACCGCGGCTTGCTGCATCCTAGCCCTGCACAGCTTCAGCACTGCTGCTCCAACGTGCTCCTGCCCAAGGCACGGTGCACTTTCTGCAATTCTCTCGATTTCTACACCTGTCGGCAGCCTTTTAGCACCTTTCTGGCGCTGGTCACTGGCTGGGAGCTGTTCAGCACAGCCAAACACCTTTATCTCCAAGTGCCTTTAGCGCTGTCCTTTAGGAGTGGCTTGATTGAGACGTATTGAGACGGGCATCGGTTCATTCGCTTTACAAATTCTTGGCAGGGCTCTTCGCAAATCCGCGACGTGGCCATCTCTGCTGACGGCAGCTGTTTGGTTGCCATCACTGCGGCGCCAAGCTCAGCTGGCGTTCGGGACTAGGGCTGCCTCTGCTGGCTCTAAGGACAGCCTTTTCGTGTGGAGGATCTCTGCGGATGCGAGCACGGGCGCCACAGGCCACGTGCTAAACCATCCCCAGGATGAATAGGATGCAGCAACCATTTATGACGATGACCTCGTGGGAAGAGCAAGACATCCTGATTTCCAGAGATCCATCAGCTTGCTTGTCCAGCTTTCACTGAATGATCTGGGATCCCATGAGCTTCAGGCCTGCAGCTCATCCAGCACTTGGCCATGGCCGAGGCTGAAATTTGTGAAAGTCGCGAGGGTTGGCTGAAGATGTGAGTGTGGCTCAAATTTCAACCACCAGGGGAGTGCAGGTTTCCATTTACCAGGGTTCGATTTTGGGTACATATTTTTGACCCACAGCCATGTAGGAAACTGCGACTTTGTCGTATGCCACTTGCGGACTTGACGTCATGAGGACTTTACGGAGGGGCTCCACATGCTGCGCTTCGTCGGCACGCAATTCCAGGCGTGGCGTGGAGCAATCCCGGGCGCGTCTCGGCCCTTTGCGATGCAAAACGAATGTGGCTCATGAGAATCCTTTGCGGGGACTTTCATGCTCGTTCCCCCCTTCGAAGGGTTGATACCGTTGATACCTTCTCGGGCGGAGGACTTGAAGGAACTTGTAAGGCCATGGTGGCAGCCTCTGCCAGCGGCTGCGACCTGCTGGTGTACAGCTTCGACCCAGCCAGCCCAGCGCCTGCCGGAGCTTCAGGAATCGAGGGCCCGCAAGTGGTTGGTCCATTGGTTCTGCGGCATGGCTTCTAGAAGCTCCCCCCCACTTTACTTTGAGGGACGTGCTCACCCCAGCATGGCACCGCTATCTCGCCCGCATCAGGTTGGGCAGCTGCTGCAGTCTGTGCAACTGGCACCTCCAGGCAGGGGATTGATTTGCCAAGTCGAACATGGGACCACAACAGATGGAACCTCACGGTTCCATGGCAATGGAGCAAGCACTCAATGCATTGCGTTGGCATCAAGCTGGGTATTTGCAGCGGGGGTTTGGCAGGTTCCACAGCTACGGCATGTCTGGAGGTTGACAGAACGGAGCTTGGCACTCAGGTGCCAAGTAATTGCCTTGTCTCAGCCGCAAATTTTGTTCCCTTCTTGGATTGTTTGATTCGAGTCTCAAGCTTCAACAAGACGCTGGGAGGGCCATCCTGGCGCCGTTTGCTCTTTGGCTCTCGAGGTCAAAGACGCTGGCAGTGAGCTTTGCAAATCGCAGATGCTTCCTCTTGCTGCCTTTGGCCATGGGATGGTCGACGTCATCCAGGAGAAGGGGCAAGCAATCTTGACGTGCAACTGGGAATTGGGCATTAAACGGACACCTTTTTGTCCATGATGCCTAGGGCAAAGGGCGCGAAATGGATTTCAAAATAGCGGAACTCACCAATTGTTGAGAGACCGCGTTGGGGGGGGGGGGGGCGCACGATGGCAGGATCGCTTTCCCCTACGTGCAGCGCTTCGGAGCAGAAGCGCCTGGCAGCAAGCACACCCTCATGCCGCGGTCCCGGTGATCGAAAACGCGCTGCGCGGGTGAGTGAGAAGTGAAACGGCTGTGGGTCACGAATAGGTCCCCAAATCCTAACCCTGGTAAATGAAAACATGGACTAAAACCTGCGCTCCCCTGGTGGTTGAAATTTGACCCAAGCCCGAATAGTTAAGTAGTTAAGTAGTTAAGCAATCAAGCAGTCAAGTAGCCAAGTCGTCAAGTATTTGAGTCATTGGATGTGAGGACGGCAATGTCCCGGCAGAACAAGAAGACCCTCTTCCTCTACAGAGCCATGAGCACTTCTGGGGAGGACCTAGCGGCATTTGGATGCAATTCAACCTGATGAGGAGAATCAGCAAACATATTTCGCTGAAGGCTAATGCAGTGTTTCCTCTGCTGGCTTTTGTTCCTGCATGCAAAGCTCGAGCTGTTTGGGGTGTTTGTGCATAGAAATTGCCTACAGCTCTGCGCTTGCTTGTCATGCTCTCGGGTGGGCTGCGCTACTTACTGCTAATCAAAAGTGATAAGGCAGAGCGAGCCAGCCCTGGCAATTTTGTGGCCAAGATTGGTGAGTTCTTGTCACGAGTTTGGATATACCGGGCTTCCACACCCCTCCCGAGCCATCCGTCCGTGCGGCTGTTCATTCAACGAGCTCGATAGTTTGAATTGAAGCAGCGGGGAATCCAAAGAAGGAAAGGTGGTGGGTGCGACTGCTGGCAATCTTGTTGAGTTGCACTGGGTCAGCCTTTTTCAGAGGACGGCAAGTGGGACATCGTGGTGCACCAGCCCAGTGAGGAGAGCATTCGACCCGAGGAGCCAAAGGGAATCGGTACACGGTCCTTGCCATGGGTAAATGATGGTCTCATGGGAATCCTTCTCGGATGCTTGTTTTTTTTTGTTGTATTCAAGGGCTAGTGGAAGGGTGCCACATGAAACTTGTTTCACGAAGCCATCCTCTAAACCAGGTCCAATTGCTTCAGCTAGCTGCTCACCCAGATGGTCACACGAGACGGGTCTCGTTTCTTCAAGCCAGGAGCCTGTTCCGAGTGGTAGTAGCTCCAGCGAGGCGAAGGCGGCCGATGCGGCAGCTGGTCCCCGTCCCCTCGAGCTTGAAGTAGCATAGTCGCCACCCACCAATTCACTGGCGACCTGTTCTGTTCCGCCGATGTCTCCTGGGCCCGCAACTGCCAGGCTGGAGAGGGGGAGACTGTGGATACTTCGCCGCAAGCGGGAAGCTGAGCTCATGAAGCTCATTTTCCGAACGCCTTCGTTTGACATGGTCCCTTGCCAGTGCCATGCATCTTATAGCTCAGGCACCGTTCTGTTCCGGTGTTTCTCAGCGCTTTTCATGCACACCACCATGTAATTCGTCCGTTTAAGTCTTTTGAATGGCCGCATAAGAGAGCGTCTCTACTTTGAAAGCCGGGATGCTTGCTTTGCTGGGGATGCTGGGAATGCTGGGAGTGCTGGGAATGCTGAGGATGCTGGGGATGGCGGATTTTCTGCACCTGTGCTGTTTGTTCCCCACCCGACAGGAAGGGGTTGTTAGATTTTATGTTGGAATCCGCGTTTGCGATGCTTCTACACCACGCCCCCACCCAGTATCCCGCAAGAGCAGCTGGCCAGTGGATCCCGCCAAGTATCCCGCCAGACCGGCAGTGGATCCCGCCGAGTATCCTGTTAGAGCGGTTTGCCAGTGGATCCCACCAGAGCAGCCCGCCAGTGGATCCTGCCGAGCATCCCGCTGAGTATCCCAGAGTAGCTCGCCAATGGATCCCGCCGACTATCCTGCCAGAGTAGCTCGTTAATCAAGGGGTTGGGGAACAGAGCCAGCAGATGAGGCCAGCTGAGCCAGTTGTTCAGCCAATTTTGCATCAGCATGTTTGCACAGATGCATAATTGTAAACGTTGCGCGTTGCCCGCCTCGGCCAGCTGAGCGCGCAGCGTCTGTGGTTCGACTGCAAGCAGCAGAGCTGGTCAAGTGGCGATTCAGGCATGGACAGGTTCTGGCTCCCCAAGCCAAGGGCAAGGCGATGCGCAGGACCAGGAGTGAGTCATGGAGCCAGCAGACAGGGTGGGCTGGGAGTTGGTTGGTGGAGGGCCTGGGTTGGGCGGGCTGGGATGAGCTGGGCTGGGTCGGAGGCAAGTCTCAGACACTCGGCAAACTGAGACACGTCTGGGCTCAACGGGTTGCTGGCTGGGCTGGGCTGTGAGGCTAGTCTCAGACACGTCAGACGGGCCTGGCCAGCAGGTCATGCTTTTCGGGATCCAAAAACTATTTGTCGACGAAGTTTTGGGTTAGAAGTTTTGGGCGGGGTTCGGGGAGGGGGAAAAGCGAAGATTTGTTTTGGGAAACGAGATCTGAGCGCCCTTGGCCCCCTTGGGCCGAGGCGAATTGTAAGCGCTTTGCAACGCTGCCTCTGCCGCGGCCTATTTGATTTGGCCAGCTCAAGCTGGGCAGCTGGCACGTTCATGCCTCATGCGTGAAAGCATTTGCTGCGAGAAAGTACTTGCTTGGCACTGAAGGACAGCCATCTCGGCCAGGTGTCTTTCTGCGGGGCACTCTACGGGCTGGGCCATCTGCGCTCCGGAGCTCCTGGCGGCGCACGCAGGAGAGCGCTGCAGAGCTCCTAAGCAAGCTTAAGGCGCAGTTCCTGCCAGCCTACAACTGCAAACTCTGGCCCGTCTATCTCAGTGTGGTTGAGCGGCGTGGCTCCCGCTTGCGGCGCCTCATGTTGCCTTCCAGCGAGCAGACTTTGCTCAGCGCCAGAGGATTGGAGTCTCCTGCCTTGGCGGCGCGAGCGCTAAGCCCAGCCCAAGTCCCGAGTTCGTTGCACCCAGACTACGGACAGCTGTAGCTCTCTAGCTGCCTCCTGCTGTCCTAAAGCAAGTTCTTGGGGAGCGTTCACGCCCCTTGCCCTTCAACTCTCCAGTTCTTGGCGATTCGCTCTTAGGGCCATTGCTCCCCTTTGCCTCGGAGTATCTCCAGGATCCGGGTTGCCTTGGGCTTGAGGCCAGAGCTAGTCAAAGAGGAGCTCTGGAAAACTCGCTTCAAGGTAGCTGGGGGCAGCTGGAACATGGATTTTGGCCGCGCTACATGGGTCGAGGGGGCCGGTTCCGTTGGCGTGTGACCGCTGCTTGGACTTGGATGCCAAGGTGGGTTTCCAATGAAAAAGCTTAATATAAACGCTTGAGCCTTGAACATGTGTGGGGCTTGTATAGTGCGCTAGCTGGTTTCATGGAGCTTTACAGGTCAAATTGCCAAGGTAAAACCTGACCGCTTACATACTCTCAATTCGCAGGTCGGTTGGTCATATGCCTGCAATGATCGACAGCTTAGCTTGGGCATCCAAGCAATATTTGTTGTCTAAGGTGCATGGTCATGGTGTCGAGGCAGAGGACGGCTTAGAACAAGCCTCACCTAGGGCCGGCATGCAGCTGACAGGAGGCCATGGGCGACGTGCTGGGCGATGAGCCAGACAACTTTGCGCCATGCCAAGGGGGCTGGTGCATCCATTTCCTGACATGAGAGCTCGCTCGCTAGCATGCAATGCTGTGTGACAAGTACTGAGGAGGCTTCCGGCTCCACACGAAGACATGAAGATGTTGATTGGCGCTTTGTGCACCCTGGCAGGAATGCACATGTGAAGCCTTGGTGCTCAAGAGTCTTTTATTCCTTTCGTAAGGAAGCAGATCGCTGCATCCTTCGTTCGTGGGCTGGAGAAGAGGCGCTGCTGCTTCCAGATGAGCATGCTTTTGCTCGCTTCTCTCAGGCGAGGAGAGCTGGCCGAAAAGATCATTGCAGAGGCAGGATTTGATGTTGGGTCTGTGAAATGAAAACCAAGAGGAAAAGCAACTATTTTGGGGGTCCCCTGAAAAACGGCACACCCATTGAAGAGAATGCCACTGGTGGTCGATGATTCCACCATATGCACCAGACTCCTAGTCTCAAGCCTGCGCGGCAGGTCGTGACCGTTACAAAGTCAAGAGGCAAAAAGCAGCTTGGCCAGGAGGATGTGCAAGACACCCTTCCATGTGGGTGTTGTTTTTTTCCACCCAGGGGACCGCAGTTTTAGTCCATGTGTCCATTTACCAGGGTTTCATTTTGGGTACCTTTTTTGACACCCTTCCATGTGGGGGTTTCTTTTGTCCATGCTGTTCTTTTAAAGGTTTGCTTCTTGAGTGAGGGATCGGAGCTTGTGGGCTCGCACCTTGCATCAGCTCTCTATGGATTTGGCGCAACAAGATCGTTCTGCAACTCATTCATTCCTGAAAGCTACCGCAATCCTCAGCTTGCTCAAGTACAGCCTTTTCTGGTCAACAAGCAGATCGCACGCGTGTGGTTTGTCAACTCTGGTCCAAGGAACGGGGCGGGGGAATCGGAAGTCCTGGACCAGGCCGAACTGTTCTCCGTTAGCCGCTTGTACGGGCGCCGGCATTGTATGAAAAGTCAGTTTGTAGGTCCCTGTACGGCTTTGGGTAGACGGCTGGGTTTTTGATTAGGGATCATGCGGGCCAACAGAGTGTGACAATACCGTGCCTGCAGCACATGCAGATGCAGGTGCTTGCCAAGGTGAGAGAAGCGCGGGAGGTTCGGCTCGCACAGTGTCTCTTTTGTTGCTGCTGGGGCTGTGTCTTGAGGCGCAAGCAGCCAGCCAAAATAATTTGCACACTGCAGCTCGACAGGCGGGGCGGAACAAGCGATGTTGCTTCATCTATCCTACGTATTCCACGCCGCAAGTCAACCAATCGTGAATGCTGATATGTGTATGAATGTATTTGTGTGTGTGTGCGCGGTGTCTGTGTGCGTGTGTTGTCAAACAAAAAGATCCTCGGCACACACACACACAAAAAGGCGCGGTACAATACTTGGCCAACCTAGAATGTTGAATATACGAGGCACAGTTTGAGCAGAACCCCTCGGACAAGGTGGACTTGAGAATGCATTACGCCCTCCCCAACGGCTCGTTGGTGTTTTCGTTGTCAGATCGCTGCGTCCTTAGACAGCAATGTTTCAATTGCCAAGATCAGAAGATACGTTCTTGGCCTTTTGTGCATCCATTGACGATACAAGTCAGCCAGGCAGTCTGTGCCTTCCGGAGTTTTGTTTGCCCATTTCATGGTAAATGTAGCAATGCTTATGGGTTCTGCAATAAGTAGGTCTGACTTCTATTTCCATCGCTACACATGCTGCGCGTGTTTTTCATGCATGTGAGAACAAATCGTCAATCATTTGCTCAGCTACCACATCTGCGGAATAGCAACGTGTGGCCAAGACAGTGTGCAGAGGCATTGTTTTGCAACTCAAAAGCAAGCGGCTGTCTGAATGTTCGATGTTTCGCAAAAGCCGGATAGACGTTTCCTCTCTCGCTTTCTCTCTCTGTCTCTCTCTCTCTCTCTCTCTCCCTCTCTCTCCCTCTCTCGCTCGCTCTCACTCACTCTCTCTCTTTCTTTGGCTCTTTTTTTGTCAATGCCTTTGTCTCTGTGTCCGTGCCTGTCTCTTTCTCTGTCTTCGTCTTTTTTTCTTGTCTCTCTCTCCCTCTCTCTCGCTGCCTCTCTTTCTCTCTCCCGCTCTCTCTCTCTCTCTCTCGCGCTCTCTCTCTCTCTCGCGCTCTCTCTCTCTCTCTCTCTCTCTCTCTCTTTCACTCTCTCCCTCTCTCTCGCTGCCTCTCTTTCTCTCTCCCGCTCTCTCTCTCTCTCGCGCTCTCTCTCTCTCTCTCTCTCTCGCGCTCTCTCTCTCTCTCTCTCTCTCTCTCTCTCTTTCACTCTCTCCCTCTCTCTCGCTGCCTCTCTTTCTCTCTCCCGCTCTCTCTCTCTCTCTCGCGCTCTCTCTCTCTCTCTCTCGCGCTCTCTCTCTCTCTCTCTCTCTCTCTCTCTCACTCTCTCCCTCTCTCTCTCTCCCTCTCTCTCGCTGCCTCTCTCTCTCTCCCGCTCTCTCTCTCTCTCTCTCGCGCTCTCTCTCTCTCTCTCTCTCTCTCTCTCTCTCTCTCTCTCTCTCTCTCTTCCTCTCTCCCTCTCTCTCGCTGCCTCTCTTTCTCTCTCCCGCTCTCTCTCTCTCTCTCGCGCTCTCTCTCTCTCTCTCTCTCGCGCTCTCTCTCTCTCTCTCTCTCTCTCTCTCTTTCACTCTCTCCCTCTCTCTCTCTCCCTCTCTCTCGCTGCCTCTCTTTCTCTCTCCCGCTCTCTCTCTCTCTCTCGCGCTCTCTCTCTCTCTCTCTCGCGCTCTCTCTCTCTCTCTCTCTCTCTCTCTTTCACTCTCTCCCTCTCTCTCTCTCTCTCTCTCTCGCAGCCTCCTTTGCATCATCTAGAGAGCGCGTTGTAAATAACACTTGTTTTGGGGCACTGTGAGATGTGCTCGTTTGCATCATGTCACAGGCATCTGACTGACTCCAGGCTGCCGACGCATGGACCGAGACTTCTGCGGCGAGCATGTCGTCTCTCATGTCGAAGGCCGGATATCGCGGACCGCAACTGCGTGGCAGCTCGGGAGTCTGTGCTCAGGAGTTCGGCAAGATCTCAGATGGAGTGGCAGTTAATCTGGCTCAGCAGCTGTCGCAGTCCAGGAAGCCGAGCTCTCAGACCACTCAAGTGAAGACTTGCTCTCGAGCCCCGAACCAGTTGATGCTGAGGTTCTGTGAAGCACTGGCCAGAGGTGTGCAGAAATCGGGCGCAGCCGCCACGAAACAGGTGCGGCGATGTGGATTCACCTGGCCACCCTAAATTGATCGCAGGAGTCACAGGAGCCACTGTCAGGATGATCTCCTACTGTTAAATCAAGCAATAATTGCGGGCAAACACCCACAAAGGATTGATGCTGGGCTTGACAACTGGCTAAGACAGTTGTGATATTAACATGCGGAGATGTCAGCTACAAGTGCTTCCAACACCGGGACGCTTTTATTCGTATCGGCAGGCGCTGGAAGCGCTGCGGCCGCCCAAGCAGATCCAGGAAACTGTGGGCAGTGCCCTGGGCGAGGCCGGCTCTCGTTCGGGGCTCGCGCCCTCGGGGGTGATGTCGCCTATGGAGTAAACAAGCTGCCAGTCACCACTGGCAGAGTGTTGCTGTTTGGGTTGCAGACCGCAAGCGGAAGTGTGTGGCGCTTTCAAGGCGCTTCAAGAGGCGCTCACTCCCGTCTTCAAGGCATGGCCATGCAAGTGACTAGTCCAGCCCACCGGGACCTGGTAATGTTTCTGCCTATTTTGCAGCGAGCTCACCTGTATATCGAGCTCACCGTGACACAGATCCATTGCTTGGAATTCCCTGAATTCAGGTTTGGGAATTAGAGAAACAATGCAGGTAATGTTTGATTCGCTGCGTCGACGTGCCGTTTGGACTCTGTATTCTGGCTGCAGTCGGAGCTCCGGTCGCACTTTGAGCAAGAGCTTGGCCCACTGATCGGTCAGCGGGCAGCGCCCCCAGGTGCAACGCAGGGTTCGCTCTCCGGGCTCTGTGTCAATGGGCATGTTGAGAGGCACCAATCTATGGCTTCGGCTTTCTGGCTTGGGCTTTTGGGTCTGCAAGGTCAGCGAAATGCTGTCAGTCTTTCGGGAGCGGATGACGGAGTGCCTGGAGGACTGAAGAGAGAGAGAGAGAGAGCGAGAGAGCGAGAGCGATGCATGCTTTGGGAGCTTTGGCCCTGTCAAGTTTGCTTTCTGCTTCCTTTTTCGGTGCCACGCATCGCTTAATTTTCTCGAGGCCTCGATACCACTGTTGGATCCCTCAACAAATGAAACAGTTCCAGCCTAATATCTACTTCCTCGCATAGTGGCACATATGCACCGATTCCTGCCCAGCCTTGAAATGAATAGCAGTATGGAGAACCGTTTTGAAACAGGTGTGGACCAGAATGGTCCGCACGACATCGACTTGAGTCAATTGAAGGCTTTTAAGCATGCCAGCCTCCCAAACACAATTTGTACATGCTCCAAAATGGTGTAAACTGGTGCCTTTTTTCCATGTCTATCGTAGCAATCTGAAGGAATAGCGCAAACGCAAAGCTAACTAAGATGATAAAGCTACATCGCGTATCCGTACCTGCAGCCAGAAGATTGTGGAGGAGCTGCGAGTGCTTTATGTTCCATCCTTCCCAGGTGCCTCCCCTTTTGGGAAGGGGTCGGAGACATGATGACTGCCAGAGCAACACGGTCGCTGTTTTGGGCTTTGTGAAGCCTGACAGGTGAATCACAATGAACAATTGTTCACTTTACTTCCTTAAATAGGCACTTGTAACCCCAACCCACTTATGAACACCATTTTAAGTCCCCGCAACAAATCCTCCAGTTCCGGCAGTTCCACCGCAGGACATCGCCACCGAGCACGAGCAGGCCGCCCAGCGGCTGGGCCGCTCCTCGGTGCCAACGGGGGCTTGAGGGAGCACCTTGAAATGGGCGGTGACACACATGTGAATGATGTCCACGAGAGAGGGTGCCCCAAGTGAGCCACAATCAAAACCCGGGTAGATGAAGGCTAGTAAGGGATAATCCCAACCACAAATAGCTGCGGCCGCCTTCTTAATTCTTCACATGGTTCTGGGTAGACCATTTCAATACCGGGTTTGATTATGTCTCAAATATAGCAAACAGTCAAAGTCAATATGAAAATCATTCCCTTGTGAGCTTGTCGCAATGCGGTCATTTGGGAGCATGGTAGTAGTGTTTACTTGGCTTTGTCACTCGGTGCACAGCAACCTTGAGCTCATTGTGAAACAAATGTGCACGGACAAACGACCATTCCTTGCACACACCCACACGCACACACACACAGACTAAATATTTTTTCACTTACCCTTCATGTTATGAGCATGTCCTTTTCATGTGAACCTGTGCGCATGCCTGAGCATTCTCAGGTGATCTTGCTCCGCTGGTTGCTGAGGAGTTGCAGCAGGCTGGGCTGCTGGCCTCTTGTCCTGCTGTTCTCTTGCTTGCAAATATGGGATTCTGTAGGTGAAGCACCTCATGCAGAGCTCAGGCCGGCCATGGCCCACCGAACAGCCACTGTTTTGGCGGTCGTGACATTCCTTCAAACCCACCCAAGCTACACTGTGAGAGGAAAGCCTAGGCAGGTTGTGGCTTAGCCTGCTTCTGAGGCAGCTCTGCGTCTATTTCTGAGGCCCGAGCTTTGCAATTCCGTGACCCCAGCAAGTTCAAAGTTCAGGCGCAGCTAGACGAGCTCACTCGCGCAGTCGAGGTGGAGGTGCGGGGTCATGGCGAGCGCAACGTGAGATTGAAAGGCTTGGGAGCACCTGAAGCCAAGGTTATCCATCCCTTGCATGCGCGGGTGAAGCAGCTGACAGTGCAGGTGCAGGAGCGGGGAAATGCATCACGTTTTGCTCGCGCTGGATGTTTCTCACGTGACAATTCTGCGCTTGAGATCAAACTGGATATCTCATCAGTTGACTCGGTGTTCTCGTTCAAAGACGTTTTCGACCGCTGGCCCGAAGTGGGAACTGCTTTGACCAGGCACTGCGTGCGGAGGCGGAGGAGCTTCAGAGCCGTGCAGGAGAAGGCGACGGGATTCTGAATGCTGTAGAAACAATCGCTCGTCTCCCCTCAATTGGGTGACAACATATGGCTGTGGGTCAAAAATGGGTACCCAAAATGGAACCCTGGTAAATGGAACCCATGACTAAAGCAGGCGGTCCCCTGGTGTTTTTTTTGACCCCACACCTATAGACCCACAGTCACACAGTCACAATGATGTTTCGGAAAATAAAGCAAGGCTTCAGCCGTTAACCTTCTCGGAGCTGTCTTCACATATCTAATCCTGCTGCAAAAATTAAAAAGCCAACAATACCCTGTCCAAATTCATCGGGCGACGCAGATGCACAAGTCATGAAACACCCTGGATAAGATTATCGCACCTCGTAAATAAGTTGACCTGACGAGCAATTGCCTTTCTTAGCATGTCAATCTTGCCCACTTGGGAGGTGTTTTGTGCTTGGGCCGGCTGACTGGAAGAATGACTGTGATGATACCCTAATATGACTGGGAGCGACAAACTTTGGTAGCTGTTGACTGGCAGCCGCTTGATTCTCCAGCCCCGAATGTGTTTGGCCACGTTAGATTCGTCAGAGCGAGACTGTAACTCTCAGGGTGCCAGCCTACGACAGCTATAGATGCATTGCACTTGAACCGCATCAAATTCATGGTGAACATCGCAGCTTTCGAAAATTTGGGGCGTTTCCAGTCTGCGAGCCCTTGCTTTCCAGGCTCAGCAGACAGCTCCGAGGCGGAGGCCGCGCAGGTCCAGCGGGTGTCCGGGTTTCCGATCGACCTGGCGAAAGCTCAGCGGATCCGCCTCCGGGCGCCCTTTCGGCTCTGCTTTTTATAGCTTCGCAGTGAAGAAGTCAAACACAAGGCTGAGAGAACAACTCTTTCAGGCCCGCGAGCTGCAGCGACTCTTCCACGATAGGGCCGGAGCTTCAGAGTTTGGTCTGGCGCGGTTGAAATGCATGGCTTCATGCATGGCTTCATTTCTGTGATTCCCCAGATAGTTGAAAGCTATAGGGGTTCTAACTTCTAATAGAGAGGGAAAAGTGTGTGAGATTGACGGCTGGGTGCTAGCGGGCATGCAGTTTGGGGTGCTGGTTGGGGGGTGCTGTTCAGGGTGCTGTTTCAGTTGCGGGCGCATTTTTGCAAAATTGACGGCAGGAGGCTGAAGCATGCAGTTTGAGTGCTGGTGCAGGTGCTTTTTTTGGGATTCGAGATGCTGGTTACGGTGCGAGTGCATTTTTGCAAGACTTTACCTAAGAGGAATGCAGTTTTGAGGTGCTTGCGACAGCGCAGGTGCATTTTGGCGTGCAGTTTGGGTTTTGGTGCTGTTTGAGGTGCAGGGTGCGGGCGCATGTTGCGAGGTTGACGGTACGGTGCTAGGGGGGAGTGGCGCTGTTTTGGGAATCTGTTTGGGGCTGTTTGAGGTGCGCGTTTTTGCGAGGTTGATGGCAGATGTTTTTGAGTTTTGCCCGAGATTGACGGCAAGGGTGCTAGGGGGCATGCAGTTTGGGTTACTAGTGCAGGTGCTGTCCCCGGGCGGGGGGGGACTGGTGCCGATGCAGTTTTCTGCTGGGGTGCAATCTTCGGCCTGTCTTTTGTTTTATGGAGTCTATGCTGGTGTGATTTGTTTCATGCTTCGTTCATTCGTGAAATCCGTGAGTCTTCATGGAGGCAGAGGATGCCTTCGTGCGCGCGCTGCAGAAGCAGAAGCAAGCGAGACACCAGGACTTCCTAGAGTGTTGCTGGCCTGTCTAGCTGCCACTCGTGAAGCTCCGCACTTGAACTTTGTTGTTGCAGAAAACGGCACTGTCTCGCGATCCGGCCACATGCAACGATTTACCACTTTGTTTGGAGTTGTTTGGTACCTTGCATGAATGCTCTCTTTGGGACACCATTGATTGTGTGTACCACCGATGCGGTTGGAACTCGACTGGTCTGGCTTGTGTCTCAGCCAGGCAGCTGTGCTCCCTCGTGCCTCAGCCGGATGCATGGCTGACGGAGGACTGGCAGGGCGTCAGGCAGTGCGATCCTTTCGAGATCAGGTGTTGCAAAGGATTCTGCGCCTCTTGCCACTTGCAGGATCCCTCTGGCAGCACCCTAAGCACCGAGGCCGCTGCATTCAGATGGGAGTCGTTCTGGGAAGCTGCTTGCCCTAACAAGTGACAGCATGCTTTCAGCATTTTCAGCCATGACCCAGCCATGTAAAGGCACAGCTTGCCCACTTGGCACCTGTTGCCAGGTCAAAATGAATCTCATGCATGCGTTGACACACCAGCTCTCCAGCAAGTCATTGGACGAGTCCGTCTTCCAGCGCAAGGCGGTTTGTCTTGCACTGCACTTTGAGCAACTCCCTTCACATAGTAAGTGACGAAGTCACTCGAACACAGGAACATGTCTTGCTTCGGCAGGTGGAGTGGATTGAGGAGCTGTGGCTGGCTTTGGACCTTGGTGACAAGGTCTTCCTTTTTGCTGGAAGTACCAGAAAACTGCGAAGCTTGGCAGGCCGTTGACAAGCTGGCCAGAGGTCTTTGTGCACAGCTCATCGAGGCCTTTCCATGTTTCTCTTGAGCCGCAGCTTGAGCTGGAGCTGTCTCCAGGCGCTGGAGCATGCTGCCGAGGGGCCTGGCAGGGAGCAGGCGATGTGAAGAGGGAAAAGCAACGCAAGAGTCACAGCAAAGCGTGGCCAGAGCGCGTGTGATGCAGGCGCTGCGCAAGCTCAAGCGCACGCTGCAACATGCCCAAGCCCAAGCTGCCGTACGGGTGCCGCATTGGTTGTGATCGCAATAAACTGCCAACGATTGGAGGGCTGACCGCGTGTGTCCGAGGCAAGCAAGATGATGTCGCGGGAGTGAGAATGGCGGGCTGGGCATTCTGCCATGTTTTCTGTTACAGCAAGGCATGCCAGATGCTGGCACTAGGCCATGCAGCCAGGCAAAGCTTTTCGGAGTTCTGCTGTGGCACATGGATGCGAAAGGGTGGCTACTGACGCTCTGAACTTGCATGCATTGGCGTGCTCTTGTCGGGACACTGATTGCGGGATATCCAGATAGGTCAAGGCTCAACGCTAGGACGCATGTGATTCTATGCAGAACCCTCAATGCATCTAAACTCAGAATTGTGCATTCTAGAATTCCTATCCTTCAGATTGTTTTGCAGTTTATGCACCAAGTTTCGTCAGAAGCCGTGTCCCGAGCCGTGTATCCTTCAGCCCCGTCATGCCATGCCCATGGCGCGCTTTTGGTGCGGCTTAGCCACGAACTTGGTGCCGGGCTTGGCTGCTCCCGCAGCTGCAAAGAGTTGAGTGCGCGAAGCTCCAGATGCCAGAAATCATGGGGATGTTTCCCATTTGATCAAAAGGTCCTTTACGTGGGATGGGGGACAATGGCGAACACGGTGATATTTATGTCCCATGGGAAAAGTTACCCATGGTCATGGCCGGGGGCTGAAGGGAGTATTGATCAACCCCATGTATGGATGGGTAGAACCAACTTGTTGAGCCACACTTCGCCAGGCGCCCGCAAAGGGAACCACAGATCATAGGCCTGGGTGTGCAGCATGCAAGATCCATGGATCTTGCGGTTCATGACATGGGTATGGGTCACAATTAAACCACCAGGATATCCACCGCAGTGATTTTAGTCCTTGTTTGCATGTACCAGTTGCAAATGTTTCACAAGGAAAGTCGAGAACGACCAAAGCATGGTCTTGCGGTTGTCCAAATTTACTGCCGCAACCAGATGTGATGTGAGCAACGGTCATGATTTGTGTTATCTGCTGTAGTCGAGAGAGTGACACACCAAATTGCACCTGAGAAATGCAGGTTTCTCACACAAATCAATGTCATTGGGACGCATACTAGATTTGGCCGGGGCTCACAATGGTGATACTTTAAATGAGGGCTGGCTCTAAATGTGCCAGTATTGCTTCTGATACAGTATGTTTTGAGCAGATGCAAAAAGGCAACAAAGCAGAACCTTATTTTGCGCTGCATCTAGGACAGTTTCTTGCCAGGGCCGCTCACGACGCTCGTCTCCAGATGTGCCATGAGTGCCACCACATGCAACAATACTTTCCGGCTAAGCTTTGAACACATAACCCTGATCATGGCCCCCACGCAACGTCGAAGCTTTAGCCATGGCGTATTGTTTGAGATTTGCAAGCATCGGCAACTTGTGGACCCATGGCCCGTAACGTGAAAGGAGGTTTGCGTCGACTGTGCAGGCGAAGATGGAGGGGGATGAAAGCACCCCTGATGCTGCTTGGATAAGCTGACACTTCGCATGTTTTTTTTGTTCTTCTTGCAGCACGATAATTGACGCAGCTTTCAAGGCCTCATTGTCAGAGAACGAAGCTGGGCTGAATCGAGTGCAGCAAGTTTGCATATGCTCGACCTCACTGCGACGCCACACATGCTCCGCTTCGCCACGTTACCAAAGGCTACAGGTTGCATGCTTTTGCGCCATTCATAGACAGGATTCACCATGGCGCGAGTATCTTCTAGCATACTAGCCACATCTCCGAGCTGCATGTCGAAGTACGTGGCTGCATTGGCCCCATGTCCTGCAGTTTCAGGATGTGGCGCAGGCCATGCAGACGCACGCGGGGGTCTTCACGCGGCAAATGCTGCAGAAAGGCCGCGAGGCCCGGTTCTTCGCTTCGGACGTGGAGACACCCTCGGGCTCCTCGCCACGGAAGCGGCGGTTCTACATGCTGCCCGGCTGAGCTCTGGGGTCTGCCGGTTGGGGCTTGTTTTGCATGGGTCCTTGATGTTTGTAGAATTAGGGAAGCCCTGATGAGATCAGGGTGAGGCCTTTTGGGTGTTTTGGACAGTTGAGCCGCGCAAGGATGACAACCGACCACAACGGCCACGAGAAGGCTTCGGGCGACACGCAAAACCTTGTCTTTGCCATCCGCATAGCCTCGAGTTTAACAGAGAAAGGGAACTCTCGAGGAGTCGATCTTGTGGGGCAAACTCGCTTGCGGTCCTCACTGTTTGCGTTTTGTTGTTTGGCTGTGGGTCAAAGCCAATGGTACCATTTTGGGGTAGGTGCACCACCCATTTTGGGCTTTATTTTAGTGGGGATTGGGATGTTCACAGGGGGCTCACCGATCTGGATTTGGAAAAGCCCATGGCCGTTTGATTGCGGGTCCCCGCCTCACTTAGTTCCGACACAGCGAGGCGCTGGACGGAGCCTGGGTCGACAAGCTGCAGGACCTGCTGGATGAGGCTGCCAGGGCCTACGGCGCGCGGAGCGAGTTGCAGGATGAAGTGATGGATCAGGACAGCCCACCCGCCTGGGCTCGGGTGCTGGGTCTTTGCTTCTGCGGAAGTGGCCGGAGGAAACCAAAGAAAGATGAACTGCCAGACTCGGACAACTAGGGTTGCTAGGATTTATTGCCATACAAATGTATATATTGAGCGGTTTCCCAGCTTGTCTTCTCCGCATCTCTTTTGTGTTGGGCAAGCTTGATACCTGAGCTGCTGCGAGGAGCAGAACGAGATGCGAACGCAGATTGGCAGCTTTTTCTCCCACTTTTTCAATAACGGCAGCGAGGGCATCGACACGGTCATGGGCCAGCTGGTGCAGGTTTGGAAATGCCTCAACTCGCCGGACAAGAATGAAGGTTTTGAGGCAGCTGCTTAGCTGAGAGTGTAGGGCCAAAGTCGTCTCACGTACCTCCTCTAGCTACTTGCGCTCACAGGTCGTGAGGGTCAGTAGTGTGCTGGGTTGATTCTTCCAGCTGCGGTTGCTTCCCATGCAGCTTCCGCATCAAAGTTCTTCGCTTTAAAATGGACACGAGTCCCTGTTTGCAGACTTGCCAGAAGGACGGATGCCCTCGGCCACCATTTGACAGAGGCAGAAGAGACTGCAATATTTGTTTCACTTCGCCCTTGCTGAGGGTGAACACTTTGCGGGATCACTGGCCGCGGTCCTCGAGTCGCTGCAGGAGAGCTTACATGGAAACAGAACCAGAACCAAAAGGGTAGGTGTGGCAAGTGTGGAGGATGTTCCGAATCACAATCTTTTGCGCCCATTACAAGTTTCGGTTATGACTCAGGTGCCATGGGTATGGCAGTCAATGGGACCACACCCATCTCACAAACAAAGGTTTGGCAGTGCGCATAATATGCCAAACATCATGCACCACCTCACGTAAGCGATTCCTCACACAGGTGTCTTGCAACGGCAATGGTGCACAGTTCGGAGGGGAAACGCAAGATCAGAAGGCTTCCAACTTGGCAACCTGCAATCATGCTCATTACGGTCTGTAGTCCCCTGTTAGTGGCCGCCAGAAAGGGGGAGCTTCTCACTTGGAGACATGCCCATGTTGACGTGCGTCTCAGCCTCAGGAGGCTCGTGACAAGGGTTGCGCCAACGCTGAGAAGGTCATGCACCAGTGGTTCGCATATTTGACGAAGGAGGCCACTTGGCTGCATTGCAAGACCCAAGCCGAAAAGCGCAGTTCGACACGTCACAGAATTCTGTTTGATGTAATGTAATGAAACTCACTCATGAGCGCACGCACACAAAGATACATGGCTCATTGACTTGCTGAGGTGTTCAAGGTAGAGAGGTTTGGTGAGCATCAGAAGATCACCACTTTGGCCCAGCTGAAGCCCCTTTTCTGCCAGAAGGAGCGGAAGGAGCGTTGGATCGCCTGCCATGATTACTTTGAGACATGCAAGATCGTGGGGCTAGCACAGTTGTTTGTGTGCTTATCAAGCGATGTCTACGGCTGAGGCATCGTTTGAAATTACATCACACCTATGAAGAGCTGAACGATCGCTGTCTGCGCATGGACACGCTGAATGCCGGCCTGGAGGAAGCTGTCCAGAGCAAGGCAACGCTGCAGGCGGCCGTGGATCACGCCGAGCTGCTGCTGAACAAGCAGGCGGTGGTGTCTTTGTTGTTGGAAATCAGAAAAGGACGCCACAGTCGCTCAAGTTGCAAAAAAGCAAACCAGCTTCTAGGTAGAGGCGGAGTTCCAGAAGTCCTTCCAGAAGGAGACGAAGACTTTGCTGCTGCAAGCAGCCAAGGCGCGGGCGGAGGTGGTGGGCCAAGTGGAGAACGCAGGGCGGCACCGCGCCGTGCTGCGGGCGGAGCTGCTGATGCACGCCACGGAGCTGGTGGAGAAGCTGCGGCAGTGGCACCCCAAGATCTGCAAGCGCTACCAGGAGGGTGGAGGGTCTGCGTTTTGTTCCATCTTTTGTTTTAAGGTACCCGTGTTTTTGGGGAAGGGTGCCAGAAGGAGAAGTGCCCCTCCCACTTTGTTTTGGGGGGGATTAGGGGATTGTTTCATGGGACCCCTGTTCTGACACACGCCCAGGTTGGGGTTGAGAGGAGATCTGTTTCAAGCCTGCAGGACGCCATCAGCGCTCTGAAGACCAGCAAAAGACAAACGGAGGACCGTAAAAAAGCCGCGGAGGAGACGCTGGCCGAGCTGAGAGCGAAATTGGAGCATACACGGAACTCTCTGGAGATCGTGTCGAAGCCATATGGCGGCCCACAGATTGAGCTGGATGAATCCACGTTGCACGTGAAGCAGCTGCTTACCAAAGATGCCCTGGTCTCGCGGCTTTTTGCCGCTGTCGCGGAGAGTGAAGAGCCCCTCGTTCCTTCCACTATCCTGGAGGCAGTTGACAATTTGGTTTCGCGTGACCCTTTCCAGAAGCTCCGGGAGATGGTCAAGGTTCTGACGCTCAAGGATACTGGGAATGATCCCCAGGTTTGTGCCTTACGCTGACAAAGAGAGTTTCTGAAAATATCTTTGTCTGAGGTGCCTTCCAAATGGGCGCGGCTCCTGGACTTTGCAGCGGTGCAGCATCGGCTTGAGCAGACCGGCGTGGCAGCATCAGAGCTGCTGCCATTTCTCACGGCACAGCCAAAGGGGGCCTCTTTGCTCATGCGCGGACCGGAGCCGCTCTCAGTCGAATGCCAAACGCCGATGGCAAAGCAAACTCAAAGACGACCGGCATGGAGGTTTTTGCGGAATCTGACACATGTTTGAACCCTCTTGGGGCCGGCATGCTGATAAGGACGCAGCCGGGGTCATGGAGGTGCTACAGGAACTGCGCGAAGTTTTAGTGGACTGTTTCCTGGTTGCAAACAACCCCCAGACACATTGTAAAGATACAACTGTCAGACAGATACATGCGAAAGTGCACCTTGCAGCGCAGGTAGCATGGGGCAGACGGCAGGGGCCGCGAATCTGTTGCGAAAGGCAGAGCCTGTGCTAAAGCTGCTGGCGACTGCAAACTCCACCGGGGAGCGCTTGCGCCAAGGATGCGTTGCCGCTGAGGCGAGTGGGCTCGCGCGTCAAAGTGGCAACATGAAGCACCTTCGGAAAAGAAAAGAACACAAAGTGCCTCAAAAACTCAAAGTCAAGATGAGGAAACCTAGAAGAGCTTCCAAGACACGGTTTTCCATATCATTGCGTGGCAATGTCACTCTTGAAGTGTTTCAGGCGGCTTTGCTGCTTGCCCTTTCGAATCTCAGCTTCTACACTGCATTAGCGATGATTTATATGCGCAAACGTGCATGGAGCGGCACTGCTTGCCATGTGTTTGCAGCCAGCCACAAGCATGCATCAGATTTGAGCGAGGTTTTGTAGAGGACACCATCCCTCACAGATCATGGCCTCCTTGGGGAGCCAAGGTGCTATGGCTCGAGTGCAGCGCGGTCCATCGCTGAGCATGGACCTTGCATTGCGAGCTACGAGCATCCACTTTGCACCCGAGGATGTCAGTTGTTTGCCACCATCCTCAGCCTGCGCGCCTTACAACTGCGCAAGCATGCATTGAACCGGATCCTCAACGAGCCAATGTGACTCGGCATGCCAGCTTGTGAGAGCAGTGGATATTTAAGGCAACAGGTTGCATCAGCCATTCTACAGCCTCGTGTCCTTGGAATCTTGCAAGGGTTGCAGCCGGCTCCAAGCAGGCTTAATCTAGAAGCAGCTGGAAGATTTGCGTTCATGTGCCATGGATCCGCGCAAGGCCTACACAATCGGACAAACTCCGCGAGCAGGCTGTTCTGCACGTTTGCGAAGATTTCGTGCACTTGGACGGTTGGGAGACATGGCCTGATGTATCCGTCACAAGCGGCGGAGCCACACGGTGGTTGGCTTTTGACAGGCGCTGAGCCTTCACGCGTCCAACCTGGCGATCGGAGGAGGGATGCAGGTCCTGCAGGCAAAAGCAGAGGCCATGAGGAACGATGCCGCGGCGATGCTGACGCGTTACAGCCGTGTCCTTGGGATTCTGTTGCACCTCCATCGTTTCGTTGCGTAAGGAAAGCTGAAGGAGCTCCCTGCAAGCTTGATAGTCAACCACATGCACCACTTCAATGAATAAAGCACAGTGCACCAGCTCGCGTGCTTGGACCAATGGAAGACCCAACACGCATGATATAAGTCAGTATAGCGAGTTTTGTGGATTCTTGGTTCGTGGACCCACTCAAAGTGTTCACGATGTGGGCTGATGATGCTGCTGTTGCTGCTGCTGCAGCAATTCCATATTGCCTTGTGCAGCCAACTGGCTCACGGGGACCACAACCGCTTCATTAATAGAAAATTCCAAACGACATAAGCCAACAGTCACTGATTCAGAGATGGACTGAGGACGCTGTCCTTCAGAGAGACGATGACCATAATGTCAGCAAGGAAGCACGCAGAGCGAGTTTGTAGCCACTGCAAAGCCGTAACGCCTCCAAGCCACTTTGTGTGAGCAGGGCAGCCCGCCTTATTCTCCAGAAGGGTTTGAACTGTACACCCCACCTGCAAAAGACCACCCGCCAGGATGGCACAGTTTCCGGAGTTAGACGAAGTGTTAAGTGTTTGGCGCCATAGTTGTTCCTGCAAGTTCACCTGAACTGGTGTTGTGCGCAGCGGCTCCCAAATCTACGGACATCTTTTGCCCAGCCCAAAAGTAAGGTCACACTTTGGCCATCCAAGAAGTTCTGACAGCTTTAAGACCAGTGGCCGCTGGATAATTGACTTTGCCCACCGGTTGACTAGTGTGCATGCTGCAGCGGCGGTTGCAGCAAGCATCTTCAGGTCGTGATGTTGAGGAGATCCTGGATGCGGCATGCTTACGGCTTGGGGCAATCAGCATGATATGATTTAATGCTGTTTTGTTCACATGTCACGGCTTTGGAAACGACATGAGGTGGCACACCAACTCGCGCTGCTTGGAGAGCACTGGGCATGTGAGTGTTGATTTCGAGTGCAGTGAAGAGCTCAGCGTATGTTTCACCGGCTCGACTCGACCTGAAAGGAACAGCCGCGGCTCCGCCTTCAAGCCGGCGAGCCGAGAGGCAAGCCGAGAGGGCTTCGGGCTCAGTGGGCTGTGGGGCTTTGGGTCTCTTTGGGTCTTTGGGGTCGGCCTCGTCTGTTTAGCTTCGCCGTGTCTCAGGCGGGGCCAAGGACATGTGCAGCAAGTTCGCTGACTTGCCGGCATATCTGGCATGCAATCAGGGCCAGAATGGCTGGGAAGGTGTAAGCGGCGTGCTTGATGTTCTGAAGTATCAGAAGCTCATGCTCAAGATTCACCTGTCTACTCGCAAGTGGTTGCGAGCAGCCTTAATGCCAAATCTGAAAGAGGCTGACCTGGCAAAAGCGCAGCAGGTTGTCAAGGCCCTTCAAGGTTTCCGGCGCAGACAGCTGACATCTCAGTCGAGCAAGGAGGAAAGCGAAGAGGGTGAGGGCAAGGAAGGAGAGGGCCAAGAAGGCCAAGAGGGCCAAGCGGGCCAAGCGGGACAAGAGGGCCAAGAGGGCCAAGAAGGGGAAGTATCTGAAGAGAGCCCCCCACCCCAACCCGAGAAGCGGTTGACGAGTCCCACGGGGCTCTCTGTGCATTTGCATTCGGCGAAGACGGAGCTCCCGCGACAGCTCCGCCCACGCCTTGCGCGAAGTGCCTCCGATCTGTTGAACGACAGGCGTGAATGGGGTCTTATGTTTGTGTCTCAGAGTTGTTGTGTGCTTTTTGGTACTTGTACTCTTATCTCGAGTGTTCTGGACTTGGTGGCCGGTGGCTGGGTGCAAACTGCCAGGCTTGCCAAAGAAGTCTTGGCTCAGCTGGCCAAGCGGTTCAAGGCTGCAGAAGAGAAGTATCGCAGAGAGGCCCGGAAGAGATCTCCGTCAAGAGCATCAAGCCGAGAGAGTTCTTCGAGAGCCAGCAGCGACGTCAGTGAAGGGAGCGAGGTGAGTGAAAGGAGACCGACCAGCAATGCAAGTGAAGCCCACAGTGAAGCCAGTGGGGACGTCAGACCCATGGACAGCACCTCGAGCGAAGAGCTGCCTCCGCAGAAAATCGAACCAGAAGTGCCCCCAGAAGTCAAAGCAATGCGCTCGCAGGCAACATTTCTCAACTGGTCCAGAACCCGCAGCAAATCGCAAGAGAAAAGGGACAGACACCAACTACGGCGAGGTCTAAGGCTTGCAAAGGCACCACGTGGCAGTGGTGCGGCATTACCACCCGACGAGCCGTCGGAACGGGTGTACACTGACCTTGTAGGTCGTCCCGGTGGTGCCACCTCACGGCCTGCCACAGCACCAGGCGTGCGACCGCCGAGAGCAGCTGGTCGCGCGGACACCTCTGACCCGCAGGACCGTTGCCTGCGCCCCGAGCTGCTGCAGCCATTCGGCATTTCGGACCGGCGCGCGGCCAGTCGCTCTGCCAGCCCCGAGCACCTGAAGCTGGCAAAGCCGAAGTCCAGAGCATCTGTACCGAGAGTTTTGGGTGCCCTCGGGCTGTCCAGCACCACTCTGGTTTCGGTTGGCCGGAGTCCAGGCAGGGTCCCCACCGCCGCTGACCATTTAGAATCCTCAGAGCCGGAGGAGGACGAGGAGGAGGAGGAAGTGCCTCTCGCCCCTCTTGCCGCAGATGTCCAACACGAGGAGGGAGAAGAGCCCGCTCCTGTGAAATCCTCTTCTTCCCGGGTCCTGGTTGAGGACCAACAGGAGCTGCAACAGGCGCTGGCTGCAATGAATGGCAGATGGGGCAAAGGAAGAGTCTCCACTGTAGATCCTATCCCAGACCCGGAAGGTCCTGAGTGGCATCCTACGGAGGAACTTTCAATCATTGGACTGCAGCGTTCGCCCAGTGAAACATCACCGAAATCCCCATCTTCAATCAGAGGTGTGTCCACCGACGGACACAGCCGTTCGATGCACAGCTCCCGGAAGTTCGCAGAGGCCTTGCCCCCCAAAGACGCTCACGACCACGTTGAGATGAGCCTGGACCCGTCCGACTGGAAGAGGCCATCCGTTGCAAAGCTGCTGGCGGAGAAGGCCCCGTGCACCGGACGTGCGTTTCCTTCCACGGCCGCCGACTTTCAGTGCTCGGGTCCGCCCGGCACTGCGCGGCGGATGAAGCTTCATGACAGGCGAGCGATGAAACTGGGTAGACTGTTGCAGTGCTTTTAAAGCAGAGTTTGGGGGACCAGTTTGGACAGATGCGATGTACTAGCTAGTAGTCTGATGTGCATGGCTCATTGTCTTTTGTGCCAGTAGTCTGATGTGCATGACTCATTGTCTTTTGTGCTCGACCTTCTGCCAGGCCCTCATCTCCACGCAAGAATTCCAAGAAAGGCACTCAGGACGATGGCGACCACCTCGATGCGGAGAAGCATACATTGAGATACCAGGCTATTGAGGTATCCAAGGGTTTGGAAGGGGATCTCAAGACAGGACAGTTGCGACATATTCTGGGCCTAAGCAGCGATTGGAGACCGCTTCACTTGGCAGGGCCAGAGCATCCACAGGATTCCCGAGATGACAGCCCTTGCTCAAATCGCTCGGGCGAGGCGTCGCCGACTTGCGAGCTGTATTTGAGGGGAGCGACGATGGGTCGTGGGAGCCTAAACTCATTTCGGACAGATGGTTCAGCCGTGCGCGCGCCCAGCCCACGCAGCTCAGCTTCAGAGGATACGGAAGAGCCCGCAGAGCCCGCAAAGCCCGCAGGCCGAGATGGCGGAGATGGCGGAGGTGGCGGAGATGGCGGAGATGGCGGAGATGGCGGAGATGGCGGAGGTGGCGGAGATGGCGAGGCATCTCCAGCGCCGGTTTCGGCTTCGGATGCGGCTCCGACGCGGCGCCTGGTGGAGGAGCCGCCCATCCCGATTGGGCCCGTGCGCCGGGGCCTGCCGATGACTCGGCGGGGTGTGGTGCAGCTGCTGTCCCAGCATCAGGTGGTGCCAGCCAGCGAGTTGGGCTTGGCTGGAGCGTCCCTCAAAAAACGCCCACGGACACGGGGAGTCCACGCCGAGGAGGAGGTCGGTAGCTCAGGGCGTGGCCTATTTCTTTCTTCACCGCTTGTCCCCGAGGAGCCCCAGCCGCAGCCAGCGCCACCCGCTGGAGTGTTCGATTGGGCGGAAGCGCTAGGACAGCTTGCGCCTGTGTCACTGCACGCTGCAGTGTTTGTCAACGTCGGCACCCTTGAAGTGCCGTTCTTTGGCAACCATTGCTGCTTTCATCGGTAAGCTGTTTTCCCCCGAGAGCAAGGAAAGCGCTTTCAGGCATGTTTCGCAGGAGTGTCAGCTGATGCCTCTGTCGACGAGATCCTGCGAGCTGCATCCTCCAAGAGAAAGACCTTGAGGCAGGCTGTCAGCAGTTGCAAAGTTTGAGAGGTCATGGGCCAGTTCAAATCTTGAGCCACTGTAGGCATGCTGTCTGAAGCCCAGCATACTGCCAACTTCTTGCAGCTGAGAACTTGGCGTGAACATGGAAATCAAGGGCACCATGCCGTGTCCCAACACGAGCAAAGTTAGCCCAAATTCGAATTGTCAAAATCTGGAGCCAGTGCAGGGCTCCTGTTTGGGGTATATTCTCAGATGGAATGTGCTTCCGTGAGTGCTTGAGGTCACCACACTGGAATCGCCGGAGGAGGTACTACAAGATGACCCTGAATATCCAGAGGCATTGCCTGAAAGCAGCGGTGAGTGACTTGCCACCAGAGGTTTATTTGCGTCATCCTAGATTGCCTATGACGCCTGAATTGTGGGGTGGTTGGGTGGAATTGTCTTTGGAAGACGACAAGCATGAAAAAATTAGGCTGCCGGATGAAGCAGAAGCAGAAGCCTCATTGGACGATTTAGGGCCAGTGCCCCAGCTCCATTTCAATCAAGCGCAGCTGCTTTGGCATGCGCAACATGTGAAACTTGGAGGATGCCGCTGGAAGAAGAGGAGACAAGGTCAGAGCCTCAGTTTCTTCAAGACAGCCGCCACATGTGCCGCTGACCTGGAGCAAGCAAGACTGACTTAGGCTTGCGAATTCCGTTCCTTTCTCCCAAACTGCCACAGCTGAGGCCCGCCAGAAATGTGACGCGCGAGATTTCTTATGCCGAGGGTTCTCTTGTGCTTTGGCTGGAGCTGATGTGCCAATGTGCTCACTCTTGCCCAATATGAGCTGAGTGCCATAGATCATGACTGACTGGCCTCACATCATGACAGATGAGATCTTGGTAGCGCACCCTTTTCTAGCATCCCAGCTGCAGAATCTGTGCAGGCAGGATGGTATCGGCAGGTGAGTGATGAGACGGAAATCCAAGAGGAGCCAGAAATCCAAAGGGACTCCTGGACCGCAATTGGACCGGCCTGAAGAGACAACAGCCCACAAGCAACGATTCTAGACTTGACAAGTGTCTGATTCGTCCGAAGTTTGCATGCCGAGGGTCACAGCTTCCAACCGTCAGGCACGAAGGCGGGGAATGTGAGTTTGTTCTTTCGCGGACGAATGTGCTTCAAGTGCTGATCAGCAATCCTCAAGACAGTCTGGTGGGCTGGCACTGGAGCGGGCCAGTTCAGGTTCGTCCTCGGTCGGCCGCGATGCTCTACATTCAGAACTTGGAACTTGTAAACGGGAAAGAGGAGACACCGCAGCCTAGCGTGCAGGACCGAGAAAAGCAGGGTCCTGTCAGGGCCATCTTACCAATCACGTTTGCTCGTTGGTTTGAGCCGTGTTTTCAATCAATGGCCGTCAACAGCGCGTGACGTACGTGCCTCGCACCGTCAGCGCGACGCCAGGAGTGTCCCATGCCCGTGCATCGGCCGCAGGCCAGGTGCTCAGGGTTGGACACATTCTGCACTTACAGGGCTGGATGAGAACCAGGCCAAGGTTATCCAAGGATACATGAAAGCAAGTAATTGCTTTTTGCAATCTGCAAGGTGTTTGGATTGCAAGTTTTTGTGGTGGCACGCAATTTGTGAAGACAGCCTGACCGCTTTGCAGACGGCGCCAAAGACCAGACCTTCACCCGCCACCCTTTCCAAGTGGGAGCGCTGGGGCCTTGGAGATTTGGAGGAATCAGAAAAGTGGAACTCCAGAGAGAACGGAAGCCGGGACTTGTAAAATTTGTTTGGGATACTGGAAGAGGTTGGGTTTAGCAAGCCAGGCTTTCAGCCTTGCACTGTGACAAAGCTGGTTGGCCATGTGGGCGTTGCCCCACCAAAGGAGGCGGGTTGCATTTTTCGTTTGCTTGCTGCCTAAGGGCCTGGTTTCTAACCCAATGTTCCAATGTGTTCTTGTCCATTGCATTGGTGCAAAAAACGAGGAGATGCCAAAGTGCTGGTGGCACGAGCAGCCGCTCCGGAAAGACAGCGACAAGCGAAGGAGCTCATTTTTCCGGCCAAGCGTTGCGAGGGCCGTAGCCCTGTGAGGCCTCCATCTGGGCGATCTGCTCGCTGACGCTTGTTCATCGCTTGAGATTTCACGAGCGCAGAGTCTTTCGGGGTTCACAGTGTACATAGTTGGAGGTGTCGCCGTTCCCGTTTGGGCATTGCGGCCTGTGGTCAGACACCTCACGTTCGGACACCTCAAACACTGGGGAAGTCTGCGACGTTTTGCAGTGCTCAAAGCCCCGCATAGTGAAAAAGGGTCAATCTTATTGTTTGTGAAGAGTCGGAAAAACCTGGATGGTCCGTAGAAGATCTACGGATCCAATGAGAGACTCCGCCCAGCACACTACAACAGAGAAGGATTGGCAGGGGCACATTCAATACCTGAGATTGAATTGCCATGAAATTGCCGGGGGAAGGGATGGTCACCAATGTTGTAATGACCTGGATGGCAAGCACGGACCAGACCAGGGTTCCTTCTCCCAAAACTGTTTTTGACCTTGGCAAGACTTCTCCAGTTTCCTCGCACATGGCACGAGCCTGACACGCTCCACTTGGCATGCCTGAAGGATATGAAGTACGCATTGGCGCATCTCCCGTGCAACTTCTGTCATCGAATGCGGCAGCTTCCAGGTAGCCTGTCATAGCCAGCGATAGCCCCAAGAGTGAAATGATCTATCTCAGTTTTGACCATATTACGAAGCGTCTCCGCACCCTTGTGTTTCAACTTTGCACCTTCTGACAACCAGATGATTAGCATTAATATCTCAAAGTGTCTTCCTAATGCACGCAGAGAACCTCACCTCGAGCAGAGGGCGTCAACAGGCACGTCTCGCAACCCTCGAGATGAGCTTTGTGCCAACACGATCAGCGTTTGTTCCTTAACACATGTTAGGTTTGCTCGTAACTTAGCGGTCCACACTAACGAGTGCTTTTTCCGTCCACTTTGTTCAGACTTCAGCACTCATCTCAGGCAAGCTAAACCAGCTAAACCAACTCTTTCAATTGACGCCATGATCCTACATTGGGAGCGGGGCGAGCTGCCCTTGCTGCAGCATGACGACTCCAGCTTTATCTTCCTTCAGCAGGCACAAGCAAGAATGCATCCGCGAGCAGCTGGTGAAGCTGATTCAGGGCATGCTGCAGGGCAGCGCCAGTGCCGAAAACGAGGAGACTTTGATTTGGTGCATGGAGCGCTTGAACCAGCACCGTTTCCTGGATACCAACACTTCAGACGTAAAGCGCGATGTTGCCGGCCTGCTCGAGAAACTCCAAGTACATTCGCAAATTGAAGCGGCCCAATACTTGGAGGAGCAGTACAAGGCGCTGATGCGAAGTCGCTTGAGCTGCAAATACACAGTGGAGCCGCACTCCGCGGTGCTGCGCGCAATGCTTTTGTTGGCGCGCCAGCCCACACTTGTGCCCCCACGGGTGGTGCGGTCCCTTCGCAGCATCTACGAGGCATGGGGCAACATGTCTTCATGGGTTTGTTTCCGTGCAAGGAACAGGTAATCAACTAATCAACGTGTTAGGCCACGGTGGTCTCAAGCATTCGGGTGACCGACGGGTAAGCCAGTCTAGCCATGCGTCTGCGTCGGCCGCGAGGGCCGTAAGCAGCGGTGGAGCCAACAGCAGCGGCAGATCAGCGAGCAGGCGGAGGACAGAAAGATGCTGCTGGAGCTGGAGCTGCGCCAGGCGCGAGAGGAGACCATGAGGACAATCAAAACCCGGGTAGATGAAGGTTAAGGGGCAGTCCCAGCCAGAAATAGTTGCGGATATCCGCCTTCTTAATTCTTGAAGCATGGTTCTGGGTGGACCACTTTAATACCGGGTTTTGATTGTGACTCGCCATGTCCGATGTTCTGCTTTCGTGACAAATGATGTCTCCTAAAAGCGAGGGTGGGTGGATGCTTCTGTTTGCCCTTTCCTTGTTTTGTTTTTGTTCTTGGTTGCTGTTAACTGGTGGACCTCTGAAATCTGCCAGCAAGTTGCTGCCTTTTTGTCCATGTCTTTCTCTTGATGCCGTTTGCACGTTACTTGGCGCAATGACAAAGCCTGTATAAGGCAGTTTATACAAAAAGTAGTAGCATGTCTTTTGGCGTGATCCGTTTGTCCATTTGCTTAGGCGGCGCGCTTAGGAATTACGGGAATCATGGAAGCCGTGAGTGGAGCACTTTAGCCGCAGCTTGCCTTGAGTATTTGCAGGAAAAAATGGGGGCTGTGAACATTCCTTGCTGGCGGGCAATTGCAAACGTTGCCTGCCCGCCTTGGGCTCAAAAGAACCGTCAGAGCAGCGCGGGCTTGAGCAAATGATGCCAGCTGGACAGCAGTGTGGCGGGCTGTAGCGAAAAGCGACTGCCAGGAGCGAGAACTCGCGGGCTCGATTGAAGCCAACGGGATCTTCCCAAGCCCCAACCCCTAGGCGCAACCCAGTTTTTCCCCGAACCCCCCAACTGAGCCTAGCCTTTATGCCATTCGCGCCTCGTCAACGATTCTCATTCCCGCGTGAAGACCGACGTAGCGAACATACTTCTGTCTTTGTGGACATGGTTTCGTTGGCCGACTTTGGCTAGCGTCGCCCTAGCAAGGCGCTAGCAATTGCCCAAACGGGCCCAGTGTCCCTTCATGCTTCTCTGACTCAGGGCGGTCTCACTTGGGGTTTTGTAGCAACGCCCGCAACTGCAGGAGGGACCCTTCGTGGCGCGGTGCCCCAAAATGTCGGCAAAGGATACGGGGGAACAGAATCGAGAATGTTTCGTAGAAGTAGGGTTGCGGCTTTGGAGCTGCCAAAGTGTACTTTGAATACTGCACTTGTGCTGAAAAGGAGCCGCCAAAGCGCAAACGCCTTGAAAAACGAAGACCACGTCCAAAAAGGAGCCGCAAAAGCTCATAGAACTTCTGTCTCACCCCATGGGCAGAACATGAATACCGAATCCTCTTGCAGCTCGTCGTCATTCACCGAAGACAGTTCTTCCGATTCCGAATCAAGCTGCTTCCGGAAAAGGCACGCGCTCGTGGGAAACACGCAGGTTTTGATATGCTTACTGTTGGGGTGCTTTCAGTTTATATCTTTCTGATGAGGCGGCACGCTTGGAATTTGATAGTAGTGCACTTTTCGGAACCAACATTCGGCAAACCACCATGTCAATTGCCTGATGCCTGCTTGCCGGTGCACTAGCGGCAGTGGGAGATCTGTGCACACGCCTTAACCGTGACCCAGTGCTTGCCAGTATGTAGCGCGAAGATTTGTTGGTGTTGCCCCGGCAGCCATCACATGGGCATCTTATTGAGCCTCGCCAACGTGCTGTATGCTGCTGATTTCAAGCTAGCAGGACATCCCCGCTTTTGCGCAAATGCTGCAATCAAACGTAGGTCGGTCATAGTACAGCGCACTGCAGTTTTGTTTCGGCTGCTAGCTACCGTGCTTCAGCGCACTTTTGGATCATGTGTGAGTGCGAGATTTGATCCAATCCTTCTTCTTGGTGTTTCACGTCAATCTAGCTTCATCTCATGTCATTCTTGTTTGTCTCTCTTCATGGTTCTTTTGCTGTGACCCCTCCATAATTCTCCTTAGCCTGTTTGTCTTTGCATGTGTGTGTCGCTTTGGCTGATTGTGATGATATCCGTAATATACGTCCCTGTGCTTGTGCCTTTGTGTCTGTTGTTTCAGTTCCTGTTCGATCTCTTGACGGCCAGGATGCGAATTCCTTCCAGGGACACGGGTCGATTTGCTTGTTGGTCGGAATTTGTGGCCTGCCGCACAAAACTCCCCCCATTGTTGGGGCCTTCGAGCATTGCCTGGGTGCCTGGGCATGTGTTGTGGCGTGAAGAGCCCTCAGGTTGCAGAAAATGCCTGCGAGGACTGGGAGGAGGCATGGGTTGTGGCTGACCTGGTGGATGATGGCTCCCCACAAAGCATGGGCACTGGCTGTGGGTTGAGTCAGACTTCCGAAAGCGTGGCTACAGCTACAGAGGGTGATGACGTGTCTGATGAAGACAACAATATCCCGCCCGATGCTCATCTTGGTCACATCTTTCCAAAGGGGCTCTTGCCTCGGCAGCCGTGGCAGCTTGCCCTGGAGGCGCATGCAGTGTCCATCGCAGAAGACGCGTTGCTCCGCATGGTGCTGCAAATGCTCGGCGGATCCTACGGGGACTTGGTGTTTTTGGACCCCAGCGGATCTCTGACATGGCGCAACGTGCAGCTGCCAGGCGTGAGCGCCGAGGCGACGGGTGCGCTGCTGCAGAGGCTGGCAGACCTGGGCTCGCTGCTGCGGCGCCTCCGCGCCGTGGTGGCCTTGATCGAGGCCTTGGCGCCGCCATTTGCTTCCAGCGGTTTGCTTCAGGCACTCGGCCAGGGCTTGAGGGATGGATCGCTGGCGACCGTTTCGGGACTTGTACAGCTGGCCGAAATGGAAGAGTCCGGACTGGTAGAGCAGCCGAACAATGTGACCGACGTGCATGCTTTTGGCTTGTGCTGGCAAAGCGTTGGTCTGACTCTGTCGGAGTTCCTCGCTGAGTTCGCCAAGATGCTGCAGAAGATTGAAACCAGGCAGACGCAGATGACGTTGATGAAAGCGCTGGGGGCCCTGGAGCCGTGGCTCCGCGCAGGCGCCGCCCTTGAGCAGATCTTAGACAACATCTTGGCGTCCGCCTGTAAGCGCAGCAGCCTGCGCTCCTCGTCCTTGCCTGCGGCAGTGACTGAGGAGCTGTTGCGTGGAGTGAGCATGGTCGCCCGCAGCCAGAACTTATGCGCCAGCTGCACAACCAAAGCTGCAGCTGAGCCGTCCTGGGTCCTGCAGGCAGGGAGTGCCAAAACCACAGGGGATTTTAGATCAAAACCACAGGGCCAAGCGCAGGACTTGTGGTGTGGAGCTGCACGGCCGTTGCTGAGAGTGGCTGAGCAGTGGGGCACACTGGGGGAGCTCCACGATCCCTGCAGCGAGTTCAGCAACGAGCTACAGGCCTGAAGCTGGGCTGGGGGACTTTGAGTGAACTGCGTGAGCAGGTCCTTCCGGTGCTTCCACGCTCAGTAGCAGCGGGCCGGCACGTACGCGACCTCCGTGATTGGGCACAGGTGCCTCGCACAGATCATTAACTGTCTCCAACACGCGGCACGAATGATAGCCGCGCCACAAGCATTTTCCCTATGTGCATTGCCATTGGCTCAGAGTAGTTGCTTAGTTGGTCCTGTGGTAGAATCGATTGTTTGGCCAAGCCATTGGCGCAATTTCGCAATGGACCACGTAGCCGCTCGGATGCAAAGATGTTACTTGCTCGAATGCTCTCAATGTTCTCGGAGCAGATGACCGTGAAGCAAGCAGCAAGAGAGATGGAGAGAGGGTGCTGTATATGTGCACTATGTCGAACAGGTGGGACATTTCGATGGTTTCTTGTCGTGAGCTTTTCCGACTTGAGGCAGCGCTGTGGGCAGATGCCCCAGCAGTGACGAGACTGCTGACGACCCTGCCCTTGGTGCTGCACTTCGTTGGAAGCTGGCAAGAAATTCATCTGTATTTGTTTGTTTGTTTGTTTGTCTGTTTGTCTGTCTGTTTGTTTGTTTGTTTGTTTGTTTCTTTTCATATGGTTTTGGTGTTTGCGATGGTTGCGGGATTGGTTCTGGTTTCATCTTCAGATGTGATGCATTTTTCCGGGTGCTGCTGCTGCCCCTGCCATGCACGCTGCTGCAATTAGTTGTCGTGCTTTGCCAACTTGGGGCTCTTTCAATGTTGAGCCTGCACACCCAACGCATCCGCAGCTTGCCAGGATTCCTCTATCCTCAGCTGGCGTATTTGAGTCTTACACTGTACACCTTCAGGCTGGGTTTGCCAAATGTCAACGTGAAAGCAAGCAGCTGGTTCAAACTGTCTCCCTGAGGAACGGATGCTACTGGGGTGTGCTGACATCACCTTTGTGGCAGCCACCTGGAAGGTTGCTCACCACACTGATCACCCTGGTGATTGGATACTGGACTCTCGCTCAGCTTCCAAAGATTGAACGGGCATCAGGATCTGCCAAGATGTTGATATGGACCACGTGCTCGGCAGTCGTCATTAACTTGCTCTTCCTGGCGTTTGCATTCATGTTGGATGTTCTCTATTCGTCTCTAGGATGGCCGTCAGAGTGGCCAGTCATTCCCTGCAGGGGTTTGATTCCGGTTGCGATCTATGCAATCACGCTGCAAAGCCTGGCTGCTGGGGATGCACCAACCAGCTTCTTCGGCATCCCTCTCAAGAGCAGGCACTACCCTTTGGTGCTTGTTGGCCTTTTCGTGCTTCTTGGCGGGCCCACGGCTTTGCTGCTTGAATGCAAGTTGATGAATTGAAGCAGCGAGTTGTAGCCGGAGGCAAACAACACTCCCTTTCCATGCATTTTGAGGCAAGATGTGACGGGCTTGGCCCTGGGCTACTTGCATGGCTGGCTGAAGCTCGACACTTTCCTCCCGTCTGATGGCAAGTTGCAGAGATGGGAGCGGCCGCCGGCACTGCTCTTCGGGCGTAGACTCTTTGGTGGCCGTTGGGTGCGTGTGGATGAGGCGACAGGGCATCTTGGCGGAGCCTGGGTGTGTCTGGTTTTGGCCGAACCACCCCTTTTGGCTGGGTTTTGAGGGAAATCTGAAGGAAACCAAGCGTTTTGGTGTGATTTCTCAATTTCCAGATGAAGCCCACCCTGAAAAGGGGGCGAGGGCCATACGCGAGCTTCAGCTTAGGCATGACAGTCAGCTGCCAACTTATCGACCCATCAACCAGCCGGGACGAAGAGATCCCAGAACCGGGCCAGGCGCGGTGTTTGCAAAATCCGAGGCGCTCGTGGCACCTTCGCTCTACTGGTAGTCAGCTCTAGAGGATGGGTTGTGGAAATGTCCTCCTTCGGCTTGCAATCTCACTCCAGAACCTGGCATGCCACAATCCTCTGGAAAATCCTTCCCTGAAGGCGCACAGTTCCCAGTTTTCCAGGGCGCTGGCCATCGGCTGGGATCTTGAGCGACGAGCTCGAATTCTTTGAGCAGATCTGCATATCCCAGTGCTGCACAGTGCAGAATGCGCCTGAATTCGGTGCGTCAGAGACAGGCAAAACGCAACCACTTGGGAGAAACAAGGGACGACTCCACTTGCCGAATGCCGAAGTGTTGCTTCCTTGTTCTGCAATATGGGTGTCGTGTCCAGCTTGACTGAAGCGGGATTCCGCTCATTTTGCGGCTAGTGGGGCCAAGCACGCGCCTTGGGGTCTCATGAGCTTGCGCGTGTGGGCCCAGGTGACGCAAACGGGCCTAACGCGCAGTCCAGCAGAGGAGCTTGCCAGCGGGAAGCTCAATGCTTGAAGCAGCCGCTTGTTGGAGAGGCGCTGAGGCTGGTTCAAAGCTAGGGCCTCGCTCACCGGTGTTTGGGAGCCTCCAACAGCGTTTGGCTCTCTTTGCCAAGCGCGAAGAGATGACTGAGGCTTGCGCAGCTTGTCTGGAGTGCCT